CAAACTCCCGAAAAAAATCAATTGAGAAACAGAGTGCACAAGAAAATTAGCAAGAACATATATCAGGTTAAATAACACTGGTTAGAAGGTAATGTCCTCATTTTTAAAAGAATATATGAAGAGATAATATGTACATGAAAAGATATTGAAATCATTAGTCATTAGGAAAATACAAATCAAAACCACTATGAGATACCACTTCACACCTATCAAGTCTGTTATCAAAAAGACAAAACAAATGTTAGAGAGGATGTGGAGAAATTGGAATTCTCACACACTGCAGCAGGAATTTAAAATGGTATCACTGGTTTGGTAAACAATCTGATAGTTCCTTAAGAAGTTAAACATAGAGTTACCATAGGACTCAGCAATTCCACTACTAGGTATATATTCATGAGCAATGAAAACACAAGTCCACACGAAAACTTGTGTAAGAATGTTCACAGCAACACTGCTCATAATAGAACACAGAAGCAACTCAAGTGTCCATTGACTGACAAATGCATAAATAAAACATGATATGCCCACACAATGGAATGGGATTCAATTACAATCCGGAAGGAAGTGCTGATACATGCGACAATACAGATGAACCTTGAAAACATGCCAAACAGAAGAATCTAGACACAAAAGACCACAAAATATATGACTTCATTAATGTGCTATGTCCTGAATGAGCAAATCTATAGAAACAGAAAGTAGATTAGTGGTGGGCTGCAGCAAGGGATAGGTTGGGAGAAGAAGAAAGATGGAGCCAGGGGAAGGGAGTAACTACTAATGGTTGCACAGTTTTATATTAGGGTGTTGAAAATGTTCTAAAATTAATTTTGGTATTAGATGCACAGCTCTGTTAATACATTAAACAATGAAGTCTACATTGTAAATGGATAGATTTTATGATATGTGAAATATAACTCAATAAAGCTTTTAAAAAAAGGTATCTCCTAACCCAAATTTCAGCTACCCTTTCATGTTATTTTCCTTAATTAAGTACCCCTCATACTATTATTTACATACTTTGTGTATCTTTAACCACATTTTTACTTAAACTTTAAAAGAAAATTTGTCAATTCTATCATACATATAAAAGCAGCTTATATAAAAGATACATGGATATGGCAAAATACTGGCAGTGGGACTCAAAGAAATGCAATATGAGAAGCTCTGGGCTATAGTAAAACAACGGCCAAGCACACAAAAAAATAAATTAAAAAAGTCAATAGCAGGGAATGAACACTAGGACTGACTGTCCTATAAGGTGCTGGAACAAGCTGGTGCCTGTGGTGAACTGAAGTCTAGTTGTCTCAATCCTGTCCTGCAGTCCTGGGATATCTGCAGAGACATCTGAGAGTCCTAGAGATAGAAATGTGAAGATTGCTCAAGAGCCAAGAAAGGCACCCCAGGCTGTAAAGAAGCGAGGAGTCCAATGGCAGACCCATAGCAGGGAGAAGCCTGAGAAGAGCACTACTTATAAAAATCACAGGCCCATCAACTGAAATTGCACAGCACATCTATGAATTGTTCACATTGCCAATAGAGTATTTTAAAACTGAGATCTGCCATCATAGTTCCTCTTCAATGTTCACAAAACCTATTACCCATGTTTTCACTTTTCCAGTTAAGTTTAAGAAAATTTGCAGTAATGGCTTTCGGAGTCCAGTACCTAAACAATATTGTTATAGGTATACTTTAAAAACTATCCATAACTTTCTAAATGGAAAGAAATTGTATGACGGTTAAAAAAAAAAAAGTATTTGGAAGAGTAATATGGACATTTTCTAATGCCTTGCTGCTTAGTGAGGTTTTCAATTACTTCTATACATACTGCCACGAATACATCACCAATAGGCATTTATGCAGTATGCACCACCAGAAATATCAAAACTACCTCTCTTTTCCTCTTTTGCTATATCAAAAGCAGGCCTAACACTCAGAAATCTTTACAAATGTATATGATATCTAAGATTTCAAAATAGTTTGGCATAGGGTAGCTTTTATGGACAAGATTGCCCATGTGTAGCAACAGATGAAACAGAGATTGGTATGTATCAATACACCATTCTTTGTATTTTTGCATGTTTTCAAAACCATATATAATAAACTTATTACTTTAAGAAAGCATCATTAAGTAGTAGCTGTTTAGCAAAACTTCATGAAACCTTTGGTGTTTAATGTCACAGAAGAAATGTTTTTCCATAAAACATTTCCTTCAAATAATTTTTAAGGCAGACTCCACAAAAACTACTGTTAATCAGTAAAAGCCAAACATGTTTGTGAAAAAGGTCACCATCCAGCTGAAAACTGTGAACAGAATTTTTTTCTTAAAAAAGGATCTCACTGTGTAGCCCAGGCTGGCCTCAAACTTGAAGCTATCCTCCTGCATCTCTGAAGTGCTAGGATGTCAGTTATGCACCACTACTCCTGGCTCAGAATTTTATTAATGACATATTATAATTTTCATTATCTACAATTTCAGAAATGCCAATTCCACAACAGACTGTACCATTAGAGGGAATTCTTTAAACTTCCCATTAAATACCACCACCACTTTCTAAGTGTGTAAGGAATGTTCAAAGGTGATTCTTAAAGGATTTTTGCTTCTCCTTTAAAACTAGGTTGGGTTGTTGGGGATATAGCTCAGCGGCACAGCGCCTGTGTGGCAATCACAAGGTCATGAGTTCAATTCTCTGTACCAAAAAAAAAAAAAAGCTAGGTTGGGTTGTGGTTGGGTATGATGGTGAAAAAAGAATCTCAAGTCTTTCATCTTATTTATCTTTGAAAGATTCCTGAAAAGTAGTTGAATGAAGGCATTAATAAGTTTTACTAACACATTAATCATTTGATTCTTAAATGCTAATGAAGCACAAAGGAAAAACATTTTTTAAACCTGTTGAAGACACTACATCTCACTCCTTGAGATCCCAGCCACCAAAATTACTTATTTACAAACACATTTGTGTGGTAACACTGATTATCCTCCATGGTTATCTGACCTTAACAACCAGATGTTTGTTTAACCATAGTGCTATATGGTCTCAATGTTTGTGTCTCCTCAAGACTCATATGTTGACTTATTTTGTCTTTTTTTTTTTGAGACAGGGTCTCACTATGCAGTTCAGGCTGACCTTGAGCTCACTTTGTAGCCCAGGCTGGTCTTGAACTTGCAACAATCCTCCTGCCTCAGCCTCCGGAGTGCTGGGATTACAGGTGTGCACCACCACGCTTGGCTAAGACTCATATGTTGAAATCTTAGCTCTCAAGGTGATGGTATTAGGAGGCAGGAACTTTGGGAGATAAGAAGTAAAAAGAGGGCAGGGTCCTGAAGAATGGGACTAATGCCCCCTATGAAAGAGACCTTTCCTCCTTCTGCTATATGAGTATACAGATGGAAATTGCGGTCTGTGGACCAGAAAGCAGGTCATCGCCAAACCTGGAATCTGCTAGCATCTTCGTTTTGGACTTCCTGGTCTCCAAAATTGTGAGAAATCAATCTCTCTTGTTACTAAGCCACCAGCCTAGAGTATTTTATTATAGGAGGCCAAATGGCCTAAAGCACACAGAGAGTTTTTTAAAACAAGAAGAAAAAAAAAAAAAAAAAATGGCATTTGCTGAAATTGCTCTAAATGTTTACAGACACCTCAGTTATTGCTATCAATCAATTTATGAGGTGGAAATTATCCCTACATTACAGAACAGGAAACTCAAGGCCAGAAAAATTAATTTGCCAAAGGGCAACTGTGGTGAGACTGTGATTCCAGCTCAGATCAGTCTGCCTTTGAAGCCACCATATCATACTTTGTTCCACCAAGATAACTTTTCAAGTCATATTAAAAACTGATTCGATTTATATAGCTCAGTGGTAGAGTGCTTATATAGCATGCTGCAAGGTCCAAGGTTCAATCTCCAGCAACATACACACACACCCCCACCTCTTGGATTAAGTAATAAAAATATTAATTCTTTGGTGGGTATTATTCAAATCAGTTCAATATTCAATCTCTGTCAATACATTTTGAGTAAAAGACATACAAAAAAGAACAGAGCATCAAACTAGGCCAGAGTGGGGGGGTAGGCAACTAAACTCAACACTGCTTAGTCCCAGATCTCATGGGTGGGTGATGGGGAGCAAACCATAAACTCCCAGCTCCGCCTTGGATTGCTTAGAAGAAGTAATGTAGATGAAATAAATCTGTAAATTATAATGATATAAGGAATCTCTTTCCCTTCAGTGACATGCAGACGGGGAAGCGCTGTTTTCAGGACAGTAAGCTGACACAAATGAGAAGCCTGCACAGGCACAGGAAGCCGCCTGCCTGATCTCCAGCAGGCAGGCGCTTGACAGCGGCAGGTGCAGTGTGGAGCGCGCTTTCTGCCGCTTTCTCACAACCCCGAGCCGGTACCCGGATCCGGCCTCGCCCGGGGGCGCGAGTGGGAGACGAGCGGGGAAGAAGCGAAGAAAGATCTAGGAGGACGGGAACAGGGCAGGGCGCCTGCGACCCCAGGTGACAGGCCTGGGTGACACCCTGGCCAGACAGCAGCGTCTGCAAATCCGAGCGACCCTCCCTGCCCTGCCCAGAGTCCCGAGCCCACGACGGCGACCACCTGTCACTGAGGCACGGAGCAGGGATCCCGAGATCCCGGCAGCCCAGACACTGCACAAGCCGGGGACTCCCCGTCCCCGGCCTGCAGAGCACCCGCCCGGCCCGCACCGCGCCCCCGCTCGGCCTCCTCAGCCGCCCGGCTCCCCTCCCCCAGCGGCGCCCCCGTCCCGCTCCGCCCGCGCCCAGGTGAGAGGAGGTGCGCTGCGCCGCCATCTTGTCCCCGGCCCCGCCACACCCCCGCCGCCGCGTCCCAGGCCCCTCGCGGACACTCACCCCGCCGCCCTGCGCAGTACCGGCAGCTCCGAGCGTCCCGCCGGGAAAGGGGCGGGGCGGAGCGGGGCGGCTAGGAGGGCGGGGCTGGGTGGCCTGCGGCGCGCCACGTGACCCCGGCACGCTAGCAGCACTTGCACGCAGGCGCAGTCCTGTGCTCGCCGCCGGGGCACAGGGCAGAAAGTAGAGTCGCTGTTAGGGTTCTCCAACGGTGCTGACTGTGTGGGCTTCGCTTGCACCACCGCCTGGGCTGTTCTGTAAACCCCTTCGCCGGCTTGATCACCTCAGTCCGCCAGAGGTCCACCTGAAATCCGCCAGAAAAATCCGCCCACGAAGAGGGCGCTCAAGCCTCCTATGCCAGGTGCAGAAGGCGCCACACCTACGGCCACTCACCTACTTAAAAGGCGGCATAACACTGATCAGTTAGTGCGTGATTTTTAAATCACAGTTCCAAACTAGCGAGAGAAAAGCTGAAATCGTCATGCGAATATTTCTCACCACTTTCATCCACCTCTTTACCTGCATTTTCCCTCTTTACCATGGCAAGTGGAAAGTCACCGGAGGAGGTGAGGGGAAGGCAGGTGAGCTCTGCACATCTGTGCTTTTGTATCTGTCCCTTACCCTGTGAGCCCCATCACGCGCTCTTGCCCTGCTGTTTTGGTCTCTTGTTTAATTACACATCAATAAGAGTGGCAGCCAGAACCAGTGTGAGTGCTTTGAGTTTAGTGTGGCAGAAACATTTTGAAAGAATGCACAGTGACATACTGTCTGGGCAGGGCTGGCAGTTGATTCCCAGAGCTGATGGACTCAGAGTGTGTGAGCATGAGATGTGCAAGAAATTTCCCATCCCTGCATACATGCATGCTCTTAGCCACAGTGGACAAACTTGGTTATGTGATTTTATTATGGGCAGCTATATTAGGTAGAAATATTATAGGCAATCAGACAGGACTAGGCCCTCCAAGGAGTCAGTGCAGAAGATAAGAACACATTACAACTGTGGCTGGAGGTACATTCGTTGAAGGCCAGGCCTCAAGATAAAGATGGAATGACTAGACCTACACACCTTCCCAAGGGATAAACAATATACTATAATCAATATTACCTGGTCCAGTAAAGTATAGATAGACATCAGTCATCCAGGTGGGTGACCAAGACCTCCTGACTAATCTCTTCCAAGAAGATCCTTGTTCTTTCCATGTACACTTGCTACAAGATGTGCTTCCCCATTGGATCAACGTTACCTAAGCAGCTATACTTGTAAGCTTGTTGGTTGATCATAAATTCATCCCATGTTGTACCTTATAATTTTGCTCTATAAAATTTCCTGTGAGAAGTAGGCTCATTGGCAACCCACTCAGGTTCCCTCCTGTCTCTCTCAAGAACTGTTTCTCTCTGAATAAAATTTGCTACTCTTAGCCTCTGTTGTCCCTTACAATTCATTCTTCACTGTTGGGGAACACAAATTTGACATATCTGACATCTAGCAGGTTGGGAGTTACAATCTTTCCCTTATATCATTTGGAGGTCTTGTATCAGTTTCAGCCTTACATGGCAGATAGATCTTAAAGGATAAAGAAATATGTCAATAATTATTAATGTGGCCATACTAGCTCTGTCTGTATCAGGGAAATAGGGTTAGCCAGAGACTTTAAATGACCTGGTTATCTCATATATCAACACAAACTGGGTTTTGAGTGCACAGTGGTGTTTGTCCTTTTATGGTCTAGCCTTTTTGGTCCAGGCACTTTGGGAAAAACTAATACAGATTCAGATGTGCCTCCTTTAATGACCTGTTTAATGACTGTTTAAATTTACCTCCCTCTGCTCAGACATACTGCTCATCTTTTTTTGTACAGTTCTGTATATCTTGCTGATACAACTTCAGTGTCTTTTTTTACAATATATCTTGTTTATACAGTACTATAATTTTTGCTGATTGTACTGTATTGTACAGTACTGTAGTTTTATGTTGTTATACATTACAGTACTGCATGTAGAGTTATGCAAACAAAAGCAAAGTCATCAAGTTGGAGTTTCCTTTGACTATTTCTTTGTTCTGAATATTGTAATGTGCCTACTGTATAATTCCTCCATTAGTACCAATTCTTTAATAACCTGGTCCCAGGAACTGAACTCAATCATTAAGTGAGGAGTGTCTGTACTACAACTGGAGCTATGGGACCCTCCCCTCCACTCACCAGAGTTTGGGCAATACCCCGGGTCCAAACCCCACCATCTTTGTCCTAAGGAGACAGAAATAAGAATAACAAAGACCCTCTGGAAATTCCTAAACTTCCAGGTCAGGAGGCATGTGTGCTAGACCAGCTGTGCATGGAGCCCTCATGCCATTTTATTTGTTTTCTTTCCATTCATACCATTTTTCTTTTCCAGTTCCCCTGACCTAATCTCAAGGAGTTCCGCTTTACCAGACAGTGCCCTGGGGCTGGACAGGGCCAGAGCCAACTCAGAGGTCACTTCGTAAGGTTCCCACAAACTAATTCTTACTCTTCCTACCCACAGACCCATCATAGGGAATGCCTCATCCATACTACCTTACTCTCTGCCTGAATGCCTTCTCAGTCAGTTATTGGGATAAATTTGACTCCCCCCCAGTGGGCTACCTCCTTACCCCCAGGGTATAAAGACAACCTCCTACACCCACCCCATACTTGGTCTGGGTCTGTGTAACTTAATTAAGGCCCAAATTCAGAAAACTTAACATCTAAATCTCTCACCATTCTATCCCCTCAAGAAATGGCAGATGTGGATGGTACTTGACTGAGTTTAGATCCCTTTTTTAGTCATGGATATTTAGCAATGCAAAGAGAAATTGGGTAAGTTTTCTGTGGACCCTGAAAAGTGCTGACTGTTTCCATACCCTAGCAATGGCTTTTGAACTGACCTGGTGAGATGTCCAGCTCATCCTAGTTTCTTGCTGCACAGCAACAGAAACAAGACAGGCCAGTGATGAGCTGTGCCCAGTGATAAACAGCTAACTATACATTATTTGTGCCCCTAGAAGTGCCTGGGTGATATTATAACACTGGGAGTAGAGAAACCAAAGGAAGATTATCTCTCCAGGCTGTCTTAGTGGATATGCACAAAGGCATGCCCAAGCCTTTAAGTTATGATAAAGTTAGGACTGTCAATCAGGGCTAGAATGAAAATCCTGCAGCTTTCCAGCACCAGTTTAAAAGCACTCTGTAAATACACTGATTTAAGGCTGGTAACTAGAGAAGACCAAATTGTCCTGGGACAGTATTTTATTAGCCAGTCAGTTCCATATATTAGGAGGAAACTCCAAAAACTCCAAGGCCCATAAATTGCGATAAGTCATTTGGTCGATGTGGCTTATATGGCCTTTAGCAATCGTGATAAAGAAGAGGACAAATGGGAGTTGAATACAGAGAAAAGCCAGGCTGTAGCCATACTGGCCCTAATGGATAAGGCTCATGATAAAGTCTGTACCACTAAGGAGAACCAAGATCATGCAAAGGGTGATGGAGGCAAGTCTGAGTGCTTCAAGTGCAAGTGACCAGAGCACTGGGCAAAGGAGTGCCCTCAAAAGCTGCCAAGTCCTCCTGAGCCTGTCTGAACATGGATGAAGGGAATGGAGAAGGGAGCCCTCACTGGAGAAGGGAGCTCATTCCCAGAAGGGGATGAGCTCATCTACCATCATGGTGGCCAGAGAAGAATGCCCAGATACTGAATGACAGTGCCCAAGGTGGCCTGTGTGTCCCTAGCTTTGGGTAACTGTGGATATAACAGACAAACAGATTCATTCCTTTTCCCTACTGGGGCATTTTACTCAGTTCTACCCCCTTACTGGAGTGAGTTATCCTCAGTTGTTGTGGCCCTTGAAGGAGTTAGCTGATCAGTTTCCTTTACCTCCCTCTGAACTGCTGATTGGGACATTTTCTTTTCCAAGCTGCCTTCGTGGTACAGTAGTACCAAAGTTCTCCATACCAGTAACTGGAAGAGATATACTGTTCCTGCTCAGGGGCACTTTGTCATTCAGTCCTCTGACAACACATTTTCTAGTTGCCAGCCTGGCTTCATTGGACCCAGTTTCTCTTCTAAAATAACACTGGCTTTTAGTAAAGACAGAGTCTCTGACTTAAGATTGATATAATCTGAGCTACTCATCATTCTGTGACAAACTGTTATAGAATTGGGCATGCATACCCATCACCAATTAAAAGTGGTATATAAAGCAGGCTTGAGCAGGTCAGGAGGACACAGGTAAGTTGCATGGGCTGGTAGCTCAGACTCTAGTGCTTCATGAAAAATTATCTGTCACCACTTGCTGGAGAAAAAGAAACTTAGACCTGGTTTAAAGATGAGTTGACACAATACTTGGGCATCAGTTGAAATTGGATTGCTATGATCCTACCATTCAACTTGAAAGTAGCTTGGAAAGAAATGGTGAAAGGTAATCTTCCTGGTGGGGGAAACTGTGGACCATACATCTGGATGTCCACTTTATTTGGAAGGAAACATGAGCTAGGTCCAGATCTATTCTGGCTCCTAAGTAGTGACTAATGGCTTTGCCTGTTGTTCAGAGACTTGCAAAGAACAATATTGGAATATTGATAAAAAGGAAACAAGGAAAAATTATATGGGTAGACATCTCAAACATGATGAATATCATGAGGATTTTTGTGCTCCATGTGAATGCTTACCAAGGAGCTTCCAGAGAATAATCAGCTGGACAAGAAGATTCATTCTGTAGACACTGGTGAGCTTTATTAAGTGATATCAGTCTCTGTGCAGTGGACCTATGCTTTACTAGCTGCGGCCAGGATGAGGTTATCCATTGGATTGATAGACTTTCTTCTATGAGACAGAAAGCCAGCCTGCCAACAGTAGGAGCTAACATGGTGTCCCTGATTTAGCACCGTTCCTCAAGACACTGGGGACATATTGGTTATGTTAGATTTCTTTCATCAGGGAGAGACAGAGATTATCCTCAATAGAATAAACGCATTTTTGCTTTCAATATCCAAAATTGTTTGACAGTGTCACCAACGGTGGATCTATTTCATGTCATAATCCTATGATTGATTATCATTTTATGATATACATGATTGCTTCTCATCAAGAATCCCTTTTCAAAGCACAGGAACAAGGGGCTGGGGATTTAGCTCAGAGGCACAGCACCTGCCTGGCAAGTGCGAGGTCATGAGTTCGATTGCCGGTACCAAAAAACAAACAAACAAAAGCACAGGAACAAGCTCATGCTCTTAGAATTTAATCTTATTACATACCCCATCATCTAAGAACAAGTGACTTGGTAGACTGGTACAGTGGCAGACTGAAGCCATAACTGGCACAGCACTGGTGAAACATGTCCAGCAAGATCAAGTGCAGTCCTATAGGCTCCCGTAGATGCTTGGAACCAGTGACCAACAGGTGGTGCTGTTCCTCTACAACCAAAATACCCAGGTTCTGGAAAATATCAAACCTAATGACCCACTGACAAAATTTAGTTTCCTTTCTCCACAACTTTAGACTCTCTTGGTTTAAATGTTTGTTCCTGGTTTATTTATTGTTCTTGTCCAGAAAAAGAGTCTTGGGGGAAGGTAGCTTATCTGGGAGGTAATTCCAGTCAGCATAAACAGGAGAAAGAGAAAAATGAATTGGACATGAGGTAATGAGGGGCAGATGACCACTGTGGGCAACTGAAGGTCAACTTCAGCAAAAACTCTTGGAGAAACTGTAAAACAAGTGTTAGAATTGTCCTTTTGGGAAATGAGAAAGCAAGACATGTGCCCACCAACTACCATTCATAGTATATTAGCTTCTTGATATTTTTGTGTTGTGTTTTCCTTTGTCAGAGCAGTAGAGAAAGGGAACCACTATATACTACAGCTTCAGGCAAACTCAGGTAGACTGAAGGGACGTGGGGAGAGGCAGTTACCTCATAGACTATAGTTCCCAAGAGAAATATGCTTTTATCATCCAGGAAATAATGATTTTCCCATTGAATGAGAAGTTGGAACTGCTGCCTGACTATTTTTGGGTCTTCATGTCATTAAACCAACATGCAGAGGAGAAGCTACAATAGTGGATGGAGTGGTCAGTTCCAGTTAAAAGGGAAACTTGGGTTGAAGTCCCCAATGAGGACTTAGAAGACCGTAGCAAAAAACTAGGAAATTACTGAAGAACCATTTTGTTTTTCCATCTTCAACAGAAAATGTGAAAAGAGGAACTCAATAAAGACAAGACTCAATAAAAGCAAGACCGCCAAGAGTAGCGATCCTTTATGAACAAAGGTTTGTGTCACTATAAAGATAAAGGTCCACAACTAGCCAAAGACTAAAACAGTGGGAATGTGGAAATAGAAGTGACAGAGGGAAGTGTAAGTATCAACTTTGTGCTTATGATTGGTTTAAAGAAATGACTGCGATTGGTATGCATTTTTATTTTACATTAATATTAACCAGGTTTTCCCCCTTCTGTACTATTTTATACAAAGTACACCAATGGTATTTTACTTAACCAGTTAGTTCACATGTCACTAAAACTTGAGAATCCATAGTTTGATGGAGAAGACTATGTATTCCCTAGACCACTGAAACCTTAAGATTGTAATAGTAACTAATCTCACCCATGTTAGGGACACCACAGGACCATCTTCATTTGTGTAATGTATAGTCATATGCTGTTAGAAGCACAGAGTTGTTGTAATATAGGAGGTAAATATCTTGGATACAGAAGGTATGGACCATGATACTTACTTGCCTACTTGTTCTTGAATCCATTCTCTGATTTTCCACTGGATTATTCCTGTGAAGAAGTACATTTCCCAAGATCCCTGGATATAGAGAGCTCTCCCTAGGCTATAGAGAGCACTTCGCAGTCCTCTGCAATATGCAGAGAGAAGGATATGCAGAAAGAGTAAACTGCATGACACAACTGAGGTAGCATCTAATGTTTTGGGGTCCATGCTTCAGCTCTCATGTATATTCTTTTATGCCCTGAGAAGTCACAGCCTCTTATCTCAAGGCTCAATCCTAGCCGACAGTGTGGAAGTGGAGCATGGCTAGTAGTAAACATTTCAGAATATTATAGCTACTAAAATATGCTCCGTCTGCCCTTTGCCCTTTTAATTTCACAACCTGCACTATCCAATACAGTAGCCACCAGCACATGTGTCTATAAACCGATTGAAATATTAATTTAAATTAATATTTATACTAAGTGTAAATTACACAACAGATTTCAAAGACTATGAAAAAGGTACAATATAATAATAGTTTTTATATTGAGTGCACATAGATGATTTTGAGGCATACTGTGCTAAATAAATTTTATACGGATAAAATTAATTTTACATGTTTCTTTTTACTTTTTTAAGGTGGCTACTGGAAAAATTAAGAATTATACATGGCAGCTGGGCATGGTAGCACATGCCTATAGTCCCAGTACATGCCTGTAATCCCCAAACTCAGAAGACTGACGCAAGAATGTAGCCACAAGTTCGAGGCCAACCTGGGCTACATAGTGAATTCAAGGCCAGGCTAAATTACATAGAGACACCCTGTCCCCAAAAAACAAGTTCATCATCCACACCCAGAACTATCCTAAACCACTCAGTGGACTAATCCAATACCTCACACGCATATTTTAGTATCACACAGTCATGATCCAGTCATTCCCAAAGCCCCACCTATGAGCACATAAGGCTTTGAGGGGACATCTAGATATAAGCCATAACAACCAGAGTGCTAACTTCATCATTAATCAAGTGGGTGTGTATGTGTGGGTTTGTTTCTGGACACTTCTGTTTTGATACTACACTGTTTTAATTATGTAGCTTTGTAACAACTACAAAATCCAGTTTTGTAAAGCCTCCCATATTTTTCTTCTTATTAAAGGTTGATTTGACCTTTGGGTTTTTGCCCTTATTTCATATGAATTTTAGAGTCAGTGTCTGGAGCTTTAGGAAAGATTATATTGACCATATAGGTCAAATTGGGAAAAATTCACATCCTTAAGTTATTGAATCTTCCAATCCTTGAATGTAGTATATCCTTTGGGTTTTAAAAATATTTTCTTTCATTTCTCTTTTAGAATATAACAGGAGAATATCCTCATAGTATGGTAGGCAAAATCCCTTAGAACACTAAATCTCAAAATTATCTAAAATTTTCTGTGCAGAGAACTTGCACATCTTTTATTACACTTCATTCTAGGTGTTTGATGTTTTAAAGACTATTACATAGAGCATTGTCTTTAAATTTTACTTTCTAGCTGGATATAGATATTAAATTGATCAATCTTGTTCATAATATTTAATAGATATTAAATTGATCAAGCTTGTATGTAGTAGTATTACTAAAATTACTTATTTTATTATAATAGATTAAAAATTCTTTTTGATTTCCTGCATACAAAATAATGGTATTTGCAAATGTTTACAGTGTATTTTTTTTCTTTGCAGTACTTATACTTTTCATTTCCCTTTGTCTTCTTGCACTAGCTAGGACTTTTAGTGCAATATTGAATAGAAGTGAAAGCAGTAAACATCTTTATATTTTTACTAGTCCTAGTGGGGAAGCACTCAATATTTTACCTTTAGGTGTAATGGCTTTGTAGATAGTTTTCTCAGGCTAAGAAGGCACTGAATGAAAACAACTGCCAACCTACAATTTAATACCAAGTGAAAGCATGCTTTGAAATTAAATTGAGATTAAGACATTTCAGGCAAACACAAGCAGGGAAAATTAATCTGCAGCCAACCTACTCTAAAGGAAATATTGAATAGAGTTCTTTAGGTGTGAGATTCTAGCTGGATGCACAGAGCTGCAGGTTAAAAATGAAAAGCAATGACAGGATATATATGTGGGAAATTCTAAATGAATATTGATTGTATAAAATAGTAATAACTATGTTGTGGGGTTTAATACTCTTTGTAGAAGTAGTTGAAATATATGAAAACAATAGTGTAAAAATATATAATAGGTAGTAAATAAAGGGTTTAGGGTTTTTGCATTGCTCAGAAAATGGTATTCTATGTCCTAATTTATATGAGAGAAATTTTCACAGATGCAAAGTGCCTGCTACAATTTCTTGAATGACACTAAGCATAGCTAACAAGCTATAGAAGACAAGGTAGAATAATAAAAAGAAAATGAATTAAAATAAGGCAAGAAAAGAGAAAAAGTGGAACATAAAAGAGGTTGGACAAGTAGGAAATAAGTAGTAACGATGGACTTTTAATTTGTCAATGACTATGCTGCATACGAATGGAATAAATATTCCAGTTAAAAGGCAAAGATGTTAAGGCTAAACTGAAAAATCTATGCTATTTTCAACAAATATAAAATACAGTGAGACTTAAATTAATAGCAAAAGATACACTTGTAAACAGTAATCAAAAGAATCTTGAAGATAATTATGCTAGTATTACATAAAGTAGTCTTTATCACAAAAAAATACTACTAAAGATAGAGAAGTAGGGGAGGCAGGGATCAGGAAAGATTGATAATAAATTACAGTTAGGAGCAGAAGCTTTATTGGTATTGCACAGTAGCCTGACTACAGATAACAATAATGTACTGCACATTGCAGAAAGGATGTTGAAAAGTTTTCACTACAAAGAAAATGATAAATATTTGAAGATATAGATATGTTTAATCTGATTTAAATATTGTGTAGTGTATACATATATGGAACATGACATGCTACTCCATTAATAAGTACAACTTTATACTTTTGTGTATCAGTTAAAAAAGGTTAGAGAAAAAACTTCATAATGATACATCATTCCACTAGGAAGATATAACAATCATAAACATATAAGTCCTTAATAATATAGCTTCAGCTGGGTGTTTTGGTACACACATATAATCCAGCACTCTGGGAATCAAACGTACAGGATTGTACATTTGAACCCAGCCTGGGCAATTTAGCAACTTAGTGAAACCTTGTCTCAAAATAAAACAAAAACAGAGCCTCTAAATATATAACAAAATTTAATAAAACTTGAAGAACATAAATATGCAAATTTAGTGGAAAATCATGAAACATATCACTCAGTTACTTATAGATACCAAGCAGACAAAATATCAGTATAGACATCAAAGATCCACACTACACAATTAATGAACATTACTGATTGACTTGTACAGAAAATATATATAGGAAATTGTAATCAACAGCCTCAGAATATAGAACCCCCTCATCCCTACCCCCTGTGCACATGGGTGAGAACTCTTTCAAAGGAGATTTGGGGGGCTGGGGGTTTAGCTCAGTGGCACTGTGCCTGCCTGGCAAATGCAAGGTCGTGAGTTCGATTCCCGGTACTGGAAAAAACAACAAACAAAAAAAAAAAACAACAAAGGAGATTTGGAGAGTAGAAGTCTGAGGTCTAGCCACTCTAGCAGGATAAACAACAGATACAAAATGTCAGTTTCCATACCCTCTGTACATTCATGTTCTAATTCTACTCTCCTATTAAATGAGGGCCTAGTAAGAGTTTAACAAGGGTACATGGGATACCTTTCACTTCAGATATTATGAGTAAGCTTTTAGAAGCCAGAAGTCATATTTTGGAGAGCACTCAAAGGTCCATCTTGTTATACTCAATTCCAAAATAGATTGCATGTCCCCAGAGGTCAGATGGAGCCAGTTAAAGCAGGACCTGTGTATATTTCCTATATATATTTTCTGTACAAGTCAATCAGTAATGTTCATTAATTGTGTAGTGTGGATCTTTGATGTCTATACTGATATTTTGTCTGCTTGGAACTTATGTAGGAGGTAGAGATACAATCAGGGAGCTAAAAGACAAAAGTGAATTGCTAGAAAGAACTTCTGAGATAAAGTGTGGATATTTGCTGAGCATTGTTAGGGGGCTCCTAGGCCTTCTAGGTCTTTCTGGACTGTGTTCCTTTTCTTTTCTTTTTTTTTTTTTTTTTTTGAGTTATTTCATTGATAGTAGAAGCTTCTGCTCTATTCTATTTTTACATAAAGAATATTTGGCCATTGTGTCTTAAATGTTTTTATGCCCTTCAAATTCATACTGAAACTTACTCTCTGATGTAAGGGAGTATTAGAGTCTTGGTCTGTTGGCGGTGACTGGATCCTGAGGCTCTGCAGGGGATTAGATCCATTTACAAAACAGCTAACCAAGGGAGTCACACCTTTTGCCCTTCCTTTCCTCCCAACATGTGGCAACACAGCATCCTTCCCATTTGGAGGATGTAGCAACCAGGTGCCAACTGAAAGCAGAGAACAATCCTTACTGGATACCAATGCTGCTGGCACCTTGACCTTGGAATTCTGTCTCCAGGACTATGAAAATACATTTCCATTCTTTACATATCATCCAGTCCTGGGTATTTTGTTATAACTTCACCGGTGGACTAGGATGCTGCCATAAAGGTATATACTGGGTATGGTTAAAATGTATGATGAATTTTTAAATTTTTTTTATTTTTTCAAAGACACATTGCCATTAATCCCCCTCACTTTAGACACACTTATCCCATCATTCTTACCACTTTCTGAAACAATTCTGAAAGGCTTTTTTTGTGAGTGTCTTTGCAAGGTGTGATTAAAAAAAAAAAAAAAAAAACATTGAATGCTGCTGCTGAGTGCTATTCAATAGAAATAGAGGCTTGTAAAAACATGACAATGTGTCCTTATTCACCTTATTCACCAGACATGATACCTGTGACTTCTGGCTCTTCCTCAAAATCAAAGTGATCATGAAAGGTAAATGTTTTGAATTGGTTCCAGACATTAGGGCAGCTGTAACAGTGCAGCTAGTGAAACACATGCAAGAGAATTTCCAGAACTCCTTCAGAAAGTGGCAAGAATGATGGGATGAGTTTGTTTTAAGCAAGAAGGAGTATTCTGAGGGGGGAAAGGCAATGTGTCTTTTACTGTAATAATGTTTTAGAATTTAAATATTCACTGTAGTTTTTGATCATACAATGTATACTCTGTACAGGAAAAACTCTGGGAAGTTATACATTATAACTCTTCATAGCAGTTATTCTTGAGAATGAAATTTGTGGATTTTTTCTTTTTGCTTATTTGTATATACTGATTTTCTTTTAAAAAATAGGCAGGCATGATTTGTGTAACTCCTTTTGTTTCTGCACGACATGATAATATAAATCTTTTATTTTTAAATAGAAATCAACCTCAAAAGGCCTGAGTCTAATCCCTAATCAAAACAAAACAAAACAAAACAAAAGCAAAACCAATCACACCATCTTGTGATGGAGTTGCACACAGAACTTCTGTGTTTTCTCATTTGTCATCAGATGATCACGGAAGGCTAGAATACATGGTGTGACCATAAAGCAATGTCTGAGTTTCCTTCCTACAAACATTTCAGAACTTATAAACTTGGGAATGTTGCCTTTCAAAGTCATTCCACTCCTATCAGTTTTGGGTTTCCTCTCATATAACTGTCTTCAGAGCTGAACTGGTAATGTCAAAAGTAAATCAATTCATTATAGTTCATAGGAAGCTCTTTTTTAAACCACAGCCTACTCCTCTGTCTGTTCTACCTGTCATTGCTATCTTTAGCTAAATTCCATCTCCTCCTTTCTGTCTTTTATTTTTACTGCTAATATGTTTGGTTAAGACTTCAAGAGCTAATATTGAAACCCTGAAGAAAACCTGTGGAAAAGAGTTCTGAGGTTTAATAAAGACTGAGGCTTGGGGAGGAGTCCAGGGAAGGGGCTGAACAGCTTGAATGTGAGGACCAAAGGTAAAGTGACCCTTCAGTTTACTGCCACACTCTGGGATACCTTCGAGTGCCTAAGAATTAGTAATCATGACAGGTCATCCAGGAAGTGTAGATACCTTGTTATATGTCCAGGGAGCAAGTCAGGGGTCTGACTAATATCTGTGCACTTGGGCTGCCTTTAGAGCAACAGATAAACCCATATAACTGGCCAAGGGCCATAAATGTGAATTGCTGGAAGTAGAGGATAGCTTCCATTTGAGGATAGAACTAGGCAAGTGCCACTATCTACACCCCCAAGCCCAGATCCATGTTTACCTTAGGGAAAATTAGTAACATTGAATTTATTAGGAGTATTTGTAATAAGTTATTGGGAATTATATAACTACTTACACTCTTTTGTAGAGTGCTTAGAACTACTGTCTAGGAATCATAACATTCCCACCCACCTACATATTAACTGGCATCCTCTAAACACCACCCTAACCCTGGAATTCTCACATCTCCTTCTCCCCTCAAAAGACTGACAAAAGATTAAACAGCCCACAAAGTCCCCCTAATTGCTTGATCATTCAGCCTAAGTTGTCCACCCATTCACTGCCCTGCCTCTGTTCCTTTGTCTGATGTTTCCCATCTTTGCAAAGCTACAAATGCATTGAGTTGTTTATTGTGCCAAATCCCTTTCATTCTGGTGGAAAAGGCCTGTAACACAAGTGTTCACACCATATATTAAGTATTGCTGTGTTTTTGAAACCATTGTTCCTTGTAAAATACATTTACCAAACTCAAAAAGTAATGCCTCTACAAATTCCTTCTTTGAATAGTTTTAAAGCTAAGCCAAGTACCAATAGTACATACTCCTAAAGGAATGCCAACATAGCTGAATCTGTAGAAAAAATTACTGAACTCTTATCAATAAAGACACTGGGAGAAATAACACAGTTCCTGTTCTCAAGGCTCCTAGAATCTTGCAGCGAAGCCAACAAGCAGTCCTAGCAAACAGCAAAGCCATGGCAGGGCACACACAGAGTATATGATGGAACAGAGAGACCTAAGCCATCAGCAGTGTCAAGTGCCAGGGAGTTAGAGAAGGACTCCACCAGGAAATACTTGTGCTAAGTATGATTTCCTAGGAACAAAGAAAAACATCTGAGCCCCTCTTTGCTAAGTCTACCTTACAAAGAGTATTTAATATACTAATCACACCAAAATTATCGGATAGGCTTTTACTATTCCATTTTTACACTTTTTTTTTTAAATCAGCCATTTGTGCAAGGTTTGTAGTGGTAAGTTACAGAGATCAAGGATTCAAGGCCTATACTTCTAATTCCAGATTTGCCTGGGTTCTTTCCACGGCACCATGCTCCTTCCCACCAAGCAGGACACACTCCTAATAGCTTTCAGTGTTGTCTGAGCCAACTATCTAGAGTTCATGAGCAGAAAAGCTTACATAAGATGAAACAGTTAAAATCATAGCTACTTTTAGCATAAGGGCCTGGGGAGTAGAAGGGACCCTGGGATGCTGGGCAGGTTCAGAGATGTATATACACACCCCAAGATTCACTGAATTGTATGCAAAAGATTTATGCACTTTATAGTATGTAAATTAAACTTCAGCCCAAACCAAATTTGTCAGCAGCATAAGCACCTGCCTGGCAAGCCCAAAGTCCTGAGTTCGATTCCTGATACCAAAAAAATAAAACAGAACAAAACAAAAAACCAAATTTGTCATGTGTTTTTATAGGTCAAGAAAACTGATCTCTGGATTCTCATGCTGCTTTTTGGGCATTTACTTATTTGAGATGCATGTTTTCCTCTGAAAAGAATAGATCAATCACAGGTAATGACAATGGCTTGGTCTTTTCTCTCTTGAACAAGGTGATTACTATACTCTGCTTCCAAACCATCCTCACTAAAATCATTGTAGGTTTAAGAGGTAAAGAGTTGCTTAGAAACTTCAGGAGCCCTCAACTTTTTGAAATGTTCCTTTTGAAACTTTGATGAAATCAAAGCCATACAGCTTCTGCCCAGAAATGTTGATAGGGAAAAACTATTGCATAGGATTTGGCATGAACACACCACTGAACCTCCTGCAGAGACAAACTAGTAGTCCAAAGATCTAAATCAAGATCTCCTGAGCTAAACCAATGCTCTGCCTACAGATGAAAAAAAAACAGGTCCAGAGAGGAAAAACAGCCCATTGAGAGATAAAGGAATACAGAACCCAGGCTTCCTGCTCATTAGACTTTTATGCTGTCCCCATTGCCTCTTTGGATACCATAAGATTCCCTTTGCCCCCAGCCTCCATCTATGGAGCCCTGGAGTTTAGAATATCTTCTATAATTCTCTGTATCTTACCACTGTTGGACTCACAGCAGAAGCTAGCCCAAGTTTAGCTCTTATCTAACACAGAGCAGCATAATCCTGTTGTTCCAGCTACTCAGGAGACTGAGGCAGGAGGATCACATGAGCTCATGAGTTCCACACCAGCCTAGGCAACACAGTGAGCCCCTGTGTTACCATCAATTGTGGTATATCAACTCAACTGGGTAGGAAACACCTAGCAAATTAGTGGAGCACAGTTCTGGGTGTGTCTATGGATAGCTGACATATAGGCCACAGATTGAGGGGGGAAGACCAAATCTGAATGTGGGTGGCACCAAACAATAGGTTTGTAGCCTGGATGGAAAAGGGGGGTGGGGAGAAAGAAGTACAATCTTATTGAAGAGCTTCAGTCCTCTTGAGTAGGTGTGGCCTATGCTGCTATCGCCTTTGGACCTGGGTCTCCAGGTCTCCGGTGTCTTCAGCCTCCAATGCATCCACAACCCTCCAGGGAGCTTCCAGACCTTGAACTGGTGCTGCATCCTTGATCCCTCTTGTTCTGCGGCTTCTGGCTTCATGGTTCAGCAGCTCCTGAATCCTCTGGCTCTCCAGCATGCAGATGACCATTGTAAGCTCGCACCTCTGACCCTGTGAGCTACCTAATACATCCTCTTGCATAATTCTACATCTATTTTCTATGGACTCTGCTCCTCTACAGAACCCTAACTAATATACCCTGTCACAGAAAACAAGCTAGGAAATTTAGTGGGGAACAATAGGTACAAAGTTGAGTTCCTTATATTAAAGGAGGAATTTATCTTTTTTTAAAAGACTATATCAAAACCCAGAACTAAAGTTTAAATTAAAATGACCCAGTGATGCAGGCTTTCCTTTCTGTTCAGTTTCATTCCTGTTTCATGAAATCGGCTCCGAAATATTGCCTGTATTTACACTCTGAGATCTACCATTGTGTTCTACACTGATATTTGTAATATTGGGTTTATAGGACTGAATACACTTTGTTCTGCAAAGCTTTTAATGGTCTCTGACCAACACAATACAATTCCAACCAGACCCAGGGCATTTGTGCAATTTGTGCCCACTCAGTTTTTCAGTTTAGAAAAGGATTCTTGCTTCCAATCCAGAAGCTGTGAGAAGTGAAAGAGGACCCAGAAAGCCTTTTCTTGTGTGTGAAAAGATCTAACCCTAAGTGGAACAATCCGTAAACAAAAAGATTCAAGCTGCTGCCTACAAATTTCTCTGGGCTTCTGTGCTCCAGGGGAGGTGGAGAAATTACATAGATCTGTAATGGGCACTTTCTATCTGTAAAGGTTTCACTAGTCACTTGCTAAGTTATCCTTCCAGGTAACCATGTGCTTACTTGTCTACCCACATGAATGAAAGCTTCATTTATTAAACACTTGACCATATGTGTCAGCTACGTTTGAAATGTATTTACTTTAATCTTCACAGCTCTTTAAGATGGTCTTCTTACTATGCCCATTTTATTATTTTTTCCACACTGACGATTGAACCTAGGACCTTCACATTGAACTACACCCTCACCCTATTTTTAATTTTTAAATTTTGAGACAGGGTCTCACTAAATCACTAAATTGCACACGCTGGATTTGAACTTGTGATCCCTTTGCCTCAGCCTCCCGGAATGCTGGGATTACAACCTGCCCAATTACTGTGTCCATTTTATACATGAGCAAATCGGTTTTCAGGGGCAGAGTAATTTGGTCAAGGTCATGTAACTTGTAACTCGAGAAACGGATCATCAGATACTCGGTTTCCTGGGTTTTTATTTACTGCTGCAGTAAAATAAATAAGCAGAGATACAGTGAACACTGGAAAGTGGGATACTCTTGGGGTCAAGCCAAGATTTTTAGACATACACGGTATTGTGCTGTTTCCACCAAAATCTCCAGCCTCTCTTATTCAGAAAGTCAGGAGGGACGCACGCAGTCGTGGAGCTTCACTAAGAAAAAGCAAGACAGGGGTCTGAGAGGGAAAAGGCACCCGGAGTTCCCTCTCTGCGCCCCGCCCACCTCCCCGGCCCCTCCGGGCTGCCATGCTCCACCCCTTCGGGCAGGCCCGCCCCCAGCCTCGGGTGGCCCAATCAGAGGCGCTGAATGGCGCTCCTCCCTCTCTACGTGAGTATATAAACTTGGGCCTGCGGCTCGGGTCCGGCAGTTCTGTTCGGACCGGGCCGGGTTCGCAGTTAGAGCTCAGTAGAATTTTCCTGCTGCGTCGCCCCTGCGACACCGCATCGTCTCCCGCGCCTCTCGGCGCCCGCCCGCCTGCAGAGCCTCCGGGGTCGTCCTCGCTTCACTCCCGCGCGTCCCGGCCCCTTGGCGACGGCGCGATGCGGCTGGGCCCGGGGCCTGTGGCACTGGGGCTTCTGCTGCTGCTGAGCGCCGCGGCGGCCCGCGCCGGCCAGGTCGAGGAGCTGCACCGCGCGCCGGGCGAGCACCGCGCCGAATACGACCGCGAGGCGCTGCTGGGCGGCCAGGTGGGCCGGGCTGGGCCGGGGCTTTGTCCGGACAAAGGGGCGGCGGCGAGGCCTGCGGGGCGCCGACAGTGGGGTCGGGTGGGCGCCCAGGACTCGGGCTTGTGGAGCCCAGGGACCGTCAGGGCCCTGGGCCAGATCCCTCCTCGCCAGGGCCAGGCTATGGGGGGAGCAGGCGTGAGTCACCCCGAGACCCTCGGCCAGGGCGGCCGCTCATCCCAGCGTCCCCACCATTGTGCCCCGCTGCTGGTAACGCTTGGTCCTCTTGTGTGTCCCTCCCCCAAAGGAAGACGTCGATGAGTATGTTAAACTTGACCACGAAGAGCAGCAGAAAAGACTGCGGTCCATCATAAAGAAAATTGACTCGGACTCCAATGGTTTTCTCACTGAAAGTAAGGACCGCCCACAAGACCAGCAAGGGAGAGAGCCCTTTGTAGGAGACAGAGGAACATTGAAACAGGGATGTCTGTTGCATGTGTATTCCACACTTAGAGGTGCAGTGACAGTAAGTTTTATACCTGGAAGGTAGGTAGGTGACCAAATACATCAGTGCCGTGTCCAGCTGTACATAAACAAGGATGTGCAGGCCGTACCTGGAGACTTTGTGTTTCTTCCTCACAGCAATATTCACTTTAGAAATATAGGCCTCAAAGCCTTCCTTAGACGTTACAGGACTTACATGCACTTCATTAGAATTTTCAGAATTTTTTTCTTTTTTAAACAAATAGAAAAAGACCTGTTGCATGTGAATTATGTTTATTACAACAATATAATAAAATGTGGGGCTGTTAGGGGCCTTAGAATCCTCTTGTCCACATCTTTGTAGAAACTGAAGTTTGAACGAGTTAAGTGCCTTTTAAAAATACATACATGGTAAAGCTAGGACTAGAAGTCAGGTATGCTGCTCTTAATTCAGTTCTTAATATCTATCCTTAATTCAATTTTCAGTATCCTCAGTTTACAAAAACAAAACAAAAAAACCCGAGTGCTCTTCCTTAAGTCCTCTAGTCAGAAAATTCAGACAATTAAAACAATGTTCTAAATAAATTGCCTGCAACTGTCTTATTGTTTAATTAAAATGATGAACCATATCAATATTCTAAATTGATCTTAAGAAAAATTTAGGTTACTACTGTGACTGTAAATTAAGTCTTTGGTTATAACTCATTTAAATGTTGCTCAACATTCAAGGAATGATGTGTTGGAGAGAGAATTGCAAAACTTGAGTGTGGATGTGTTGTCAGTGATGCCCTCAGGAATATTAGGGTTTTGTTCCTTCACCTTAAAGCAAACAAAACCTCTGAGCTCTCCTCCTAAGTAAGAATAGGTCTGTGTTTAGTGACAAATACACACAGACCAAGTTGACTTGGACGACTTGGTGGCACATGTCAGGGCCTAGATATGTCCAAATATTTAGTACTAGTAAACTTTAAAAAAAAATTCAGAAGGAATTTAGCCCAAGTATTTATTCTACAGAATAGAAAACCAAAGGTTTGAGAAGGCAGACTCCCTCCATACAGCAAAGCTAAAATGTGAGGCCATGTTTCTGATCCCTGTTCCATTCTATTTTCCTTGACACGCAGTAATCTTTTTAAATAAATGAGAAGACAGATTCGTGCCACCTAAGGAAACCTGCATTCTACAGGGAGACCTTTCAGATAATTTTGCTAATTTGCATGTTGAGGAACCACAGTGAACTCTGAGGGTGGTGAAAGGTAGCCGTTGTTAAGCCACTCACAGTGGCACATGAGTTTAGTCCCAGCTACTCGGGAGGCTGAGGTAGGAGGATCATGTGAACCCAGGAGTTTGAGACCAGCCTGCCTAACATAGCAAGATCCCATCTCCAAAAAACAAACCAAAAAGTGAGGTAGAGATTCTTAATAGTGAGCAAAAATCAGTAGAAAGCATTAGGCTTTGAAGCCAAACAGGTTTGAATCTGAACTCTTCCACTTAGCTATGAGGCCTTGTTTCTAAACCTCTGATTCTTCAACTGTGAAATGTGATAAGATTAGAAATAATGTACAAGATCTGATATATAGCAGTTCAGTGTGTTGTTGCATAAAAGTTATCATTCTGCCTTGATTTAAGAGTTTGAGAGAGAAGTTGTTTTGCATTTCTATTCATCTAACCTCTACCAAACCAGTAAGAGAACTGCCAGTCCTAAGACAGACAGCTGTTGCAATAAGGGTATAAATCATAGCTGTCATCTATTACATTGTCAAAATTTCCTCCACATGTTTTATGTCATGTTTAAAAGGAATATACCATAAGAGTGTCCAAGTTCAGAAACTTGAGTACCTTTTCACAATTTAAGTTGTTTATTTACCATCTATTATTTCCCTTTATGTATTTTTATTCAATTCACATGAAAAAAATTTTTTTGGAGACAGGGTCTCACCATGTATTTCAGGCTGATCTTGAGCTCACTATGTAGGCCATGGTGGTCTCACCCTTGTGGCTATCCTCCTGTCTCAGCCTCCTGAGTGCTGGGATTGTGGACATGTGCCTCCATGCCTGGCACATAAAATTTATTTTAAATGAAAGCATTATATTCCTCTCATAAATGAAAAAGATTTTTTATACATATTAAAATAAATAGATATTTACTCAAATACTATGGTTCCTGAGAGATCTGTATTTAGCAAAGGTTATCTGCAATTTTTTAGGTAATATATTTAAAAAGTAAAGTGCTCATTTGACCAGTTGGTAATTGATTCAGTGACTATTAAGAGGTAGGGATTTGGTATATACATGTGAAAAAACAGACCTGAACTGTACTCGTGGCACTCGTATCTATTCAGATCACATATTACAATGTTCCTATACTCCGCAGAGCTGTTCTCATTCCTATTTCTATCAGTACTGTTAGACTGGTTCTTGGTGTTTCCAAACATGAAAGTTTTTTCCTGCCTCCCTCCCTTTCTTCCTTTCAGATGGTTTTAGAAACCATCACCCCAAATATCAGAATCATTGCCAACATTCATTGTGTTCTGGGAAACCCTCTAATAGGTGAACTCAGCCAGTGGATTCAGAATTCTTTTAAGCATTATGCCATGCAAGAAGCAAAGCAGCAGTTTGTTGAATATGACAAAAACAATGACGGCACCGTGACCTGGGACGAGTACAACATTCAGATGTATGACCGTGTGATCGACTTTGATGAGAACACAGCTCTGGATGATGCGGAGGAGGAGTCATTCCGGCAGGTGAGTTCATGCACCAGTTGTTCCTTGATAACATCTGTTGCTTTTTCTCCCCTGAATGTGGGAGTACAGAGGCCGAAGGGCCAGCACAGGTTGTCTTGTTCTTTTGGGCGCTCATCCTGATGACTTCCTTTCTAGCCAGGTTTTCTCAGCTGTATCACTTATTTGGCCCCATTTCCAGAGCTGCTTTCTTAAATCTATTTTGAGTATATATCTCGGTATTTAATTTTAAACATCACTGAATAGTTTTATGTCTTATTTATGAAGAAGGCCATATTGATTGGTCCATTCCCATTTTAAAACAGCTTTGTATAAAGTGACTCACTCGTAAAAACTGTTTAATTGTGGTAAAATGCACATAATAACATTACCATTTTAAACATTTTTAAGTGTATACTTTAGTACTGTTAAGTACATTCACCTTGTTCTGCAACCAGTCTCAAAATCTTTTCATCTTGCAAGACTGAACTCTGTGCTCATTTTACCCATTAAACAAGAACTTCTCGGTCCCAGCCCCAATCCTGCCTGGCAACCACATTCTACTTTCTATCTGAATTTGACTGCTCCAGGTAACCTCCTCCAACATAGTATTTGTTTTTGTCTCTGCCTTATTGCACTTGGCGTAATGTCCTCAAGACTCGTCCACTTTAAGGTATGTCAGAATTTCCTGCCTAAAAAGGTCACACATATTTTAAAAAGCCAAGTAACATTCTGGTTGTGTATGGAGGGTAGTGTATGTCACTTTTGTTTATCCACTCATTAGTGAGTGGACACCTGAGTTGCTTCAACCTTTCAGCTCTCGTAAATGATGCTACATTTGTTGTGATATGTGCATCTTTCCTTTAGATCCTACTTTGAATTCTTTTGAATGCATACCTAGATAAAGGATTGTTGGGTCATTTCTCTTTTTAATTTTTTGAGGGACATTAATACTGTTTTCCATAGCACTATAATATCTAAAATAACTCACTTTCGGAGATTCAGTATCACTATTAGGTGTTATTTTTTTATATAATTTACTATAACATAGGCTTAAACAGGTGAGGAAGACAGTTTTTATCTTTGAACTAGTAGTAACTTTTTAAGACTTTTAGAAAGTCTGTTCAGCTAAAAGTATACCCAACAAATAACTATAAGCTTGATAAATAGCTACATCAAAAGTAATTTTAAAAGATTTTTTAAAGGTAATTTTTACATATGTGGAAAAGGATAAAAATAAAACCAAACAACTGATTGCAAATTGTCTATCTCAAGACATCTGCCAAGATGGTGGAAAATATTTTTGCCTCTTCTGTTTCTCACCTTCTTTGAGTATATACCTTTTAATTTTAATGCTTTTAATGCTGTTTATATTAGGATTGTATTGGCCACTTGGCCTCTGTAAATCACCACTAACTCCATGTTGTTGCTACCCTGCTAATGATTGCTCATAGGCTACTCATAGGCCACTGGGGCATAGGTTAAAGGCTCCAGCCCCAAGCCGGTCTGCCTGGCTTCACAGCAAGGTCTTGGATAAGTTACTAAACCTCCCTACACCTCAGCTTCTTCATTTCAGAAAAGGGAGAGGGTAACCTTATGGAGACTGACTAATAAATAGTAGTAACTGGATCAGAAAGTATAGTAGCTCTATTTCTATCTGAAAGGTTATTGTGAAAGAAAGCATGTATCATCCACATAAGTTTATACTTCATCAGTCAACTTCTAAAAATCTTTAGGCATTTATTAACTATATCAGCTGTAGATTTAGATTAGTTAGGATTTATTAAGAATTTAAGGTCTTAGGGCTGGGGATTTAGCTCAGCGGCAAAGCGCCTCCTGGCAAGCTCAAGGTCGTGAGTTCGGTTCCTGGTACCAGAGAAAAACCAAAAAAAAAAGGAATTTAAGGTTTTAAAGAATAGTGTGAATTTGTCTTTTCACTGTTTGGTAGTGCTAAAGAGAAAATGAATGGTGATAGTGAGATTTGGGGTTCAAATGTCTAGTAGATTTTCTCCTTTCCTGTGAGGATTAACTTATTTTAAAAGCATCATTAGAGTTTTAAGACTTTTCTAAAACCAAACCATGGTGTGATATTATAACTTCTCTGCGTGCAGGAGGCTCTGGGTTCAAGTTCAAGTACCACCATAAAAAGAAAAAAGTATGTATTTTTGTCTCCTTGGAGAGGATGATATAATAAATAATGGTATTGACATTAAAAGGTTACTTTGAAGATTCTTTACTCATTAATATAAACTACTTGTGAATAGTTCTTTAAATTTTAAAATTCAAAAGATGCTTGCCTCTAAACCAGGCATGGTGGTCCATACCAGTGACCCTAGCATTCTGAGAGGCTGAGGCAGGAAGATTGCAAATTTGAGCCTAGCCCGAGCAAATTAGCAACTTAGTGAGACTCTATCTCAAAAATTTGAGAAGGGCTAGAGATGTAGCTCAGTGTGAAGGCCCTGGGTTCAATCCCCAATACCACAAAAGAAGAAAGAAAAAGATGTCTGTTTTAATGCTATATTCCCCACCAGGTACATATTGTTGATAAGACTACCTTTAAAAATGAGTTAGATGAATCTTAGTGACATACACTTTTCAGTGGGAAAGTAGGCCTCTATCTTTATGAAATTTTAGTCATATTGTTTTTTAGAACTTGACACTAAATAACCCCCTAAAAATTGATGTGTGTTGTAGAGGTGAACTCAAAGACAATGTGTGTTATTCTTCAAATTAAAAAAGGATAAAGAGGGGCCGGGGATTTAGCTCAGCGGCAAAGCGCCTGCCTGGCAAGCGCAAGGTCGTGAGTTCAGTTCCCGGTACCAGAGAAAAACCAAACCCCCCCCCCAAAAAAGGATAAAGAATGAGTTGGCCCCAAAGTTACAGACTAACATCATAACATAAATGAAAGTACAGTAACCCCTCTGATCAGGAGTGCTTCTGTTTGCAAATAATTCGGTTCACAAACAAAAGTCTTCAGCAAAATTTTGTTTCCGTTTGCAAACTCTGCACTGGGTGACAAATACAACCACAGCCATCTTCCCTACACAAACACAATCAGCCATCTTCTCCCAAATCATAAAATAAATCAAGTTTGTAAACCGAGGCACCACTGTAACTGGATGTCTGAATAAAATAACATTTTCTATATGGGAATTTCTTAAAAAGCTAACATCAAGATAGGCACCATGTGTTTAGTCCCAGCACTCAGGAGCCTGAGGCAGGAAGATCATTGGAGTGTTGGAGACCAGCGTGAGTAACAGAGTGAGACCCTGTCTCCCAAACAAACTAAAATCAACTTGATACCTGAATGTTATCTTATTTTAAATGAATCCAGACAAGAGAATATGGACAACTGGTAGTCAGGACCCTTCCAGACTGTGAGATGCCTACAAAGGTATTTCTCTACAATGTAATGAACAATGATAAGTCAGCACTTCGAAGCAGGATAAAATTTGGGGCCTGCTTGGCAGAAGCTCAGTTACTCTAACTTCTGAAGTCTGCTGACTGTGCATGGAGAAGCCACATTTATTTAAGATCTATTCTTAACACATAGCTGGCCAGGACTTTTTAAGACCTATTTTCCCCCTCTAGGATCACAGATTATATATTTCCTCATGTAAAATCATTAGTCTACCAAAAGGTGGCAGTTTTGTTCCTCACAAGTTTCTGTTGCACTGTAAAAATAAATGACTATAGTAGTTTCTTTTTATTGCTGTGTGTAGCACTTTTGCCCTCCACTAGAGTACAAGGTTTTTATACAGAAGAAACAGTATTGGGATTTTTATGAAACGGACCATTTTTTTTGTTACTGTTATTTTTTCTTTTAATTTGCCCATTTGAAAAAAATTTTTTCTTCCTTTATTTTGGCTTTTCAAATTTAACATAAGATGATCTCAGATTGTACTAAAATGATCGTGAAATGTGAGCCGAAAAATACTGCTTTCCTTTTTTCGTTGTTTTTAAGCCATCTTAGCTTGTTGAAAGAGACCCTTCTCTCCATAGTCAAATGAGGTCAAACTTAGCTCACCTTGCTGGGACATGGACCTTTTGGCCCCAGATTGAAGGGTTCTTTCATAAGGCAATCTAAATAGTTGGTATTTCAAGTAGTGACGTATTACAGAAGAATTCTTGTTTGCCTACTTTTCTCCCACATTAAACCTAAACATAAAATGCAAATTATTTGGCCTTGTTATTTGAATTTATGAAATTAATTCAAAAGCAGCTATTTGGAAACACATTTTTTTTTCTGTAATAATTGGGTGAGTCCAATTGTTTTAAAAGATCAATTCTTTGGGAGAAGAGATGAGCAGCCCACTGACATCAGCAGCTATAAAGAACTACTATTTAGGTACATGACAGTTGCCTGATTGTTTTTCCAGAAAACTGAAAAGAACTTTCTATTTTAACAGTAGAACCTATCAGTAAGTTTCTGGCTGGGCTCAGTAGTACGTGCCTATAATTCCACACTTGAGAGGCTGAGGCAGGAAGATGCTCAGTAGTACATACCTATAATTCCACATTTGAGAGGCTGAGGCAGGAAGACTGTGAGTTTGAGGACAACTTGGGCAACTTAATGAGACCCTGTCTCAAAGAAAGAAAAAATTCCTTGTCCCCATCTTTGTCCCTAGTATATGCTGTTATTTTACTACTTGAGCATACTTTAAAAAAAAAGAGAAGATGGGGAAAGAAAGAAAAAAGGTCCTGTGTTTTCTTTAACCCCAAAATAAGCTAAATTTATTAGTTTTGTGGCATTCAAAAAAGTATTGCCCCTTACCAAAAGCACACACGTACACACAAAGTATTGAGATTAATTATTAAAGGAGATAATAGTATAGAAAGAACAGGGAGAATCCAAATTCAATATTTTTTTAGCTGTATTTCTGATTTTCATCAAATTGATGTTAGTCTTTCTATCAATAATGGGTTTTTCTTTACCAGTAATGGTAATATATGACATTTAAAAAATATTTACTACTGGCCAGGTGTCGTGGCGCATGCCTGTACTCCCAGCACTTGGGAGGCTGAGGCAGGAGGATTGCTGTGAGTTCGAGGCCAGTCTGGGCTACAAAGTGAGTTCAAGGCCAGCCTGAATTGCATAGTGAAACTGTCTCAAAAAGACTAAATAAATAAATAAAGATATTTACTACTTTAGGTTTACTAATTACGTGATAGGGATTCTTATGCCAAGTGCCTAATCAAGATTTTTATTACCGAGTTTTGTGATGAGCAACCAGAGTTCAGCAGCGTGCCCCGTGTCTGCTAGCTGGAGAGTGGCACAGCTGGGGTTTAGTACCTCTGACTGTAGAGCTTATTTCTCTGTTGGCTTCTTTCATGTGTTTATTTGCCTAAGCTACCTCAGAGGGATGAATAAATATAGGTAGGATAATGTATGCAAACTGTACTTCAAATTTCACATAGTCTGTATTGTTCAAAGTAGTTTTAATGATGCGGTGCTAATGAGATTTTTAAATATGTTCCATTTTTTTCCCCCCAAGCTTCATTTAAAGGACAAGAAGCGATTTGAGAAAGCGAACCAGGATGCAGGTTCTGGTTTGAACCTTGAAGAATTTATTGCTTTTGAGCACCCCGAAGAAGTAGATTATATGACGGTAAGGAAGAAAAAGGTTGAGGGAACTGTTGAGTGACTCAAATCTTAAAACCTGTTCCCAGGTCACTAAAATGAATTGTAACACCATCGGAGTTTAAGAAACAGGAAGATCTAAAATGATCCCAGATTCTTCTCATGTAAGATCGGGGTGGGGAGAAGAGTTTCTGGTAGTGGTCAGGTTGCAGAAGGCAAAGCATTGGGTTTGGGGGTTGTTTTGGTTCGGTTACAATGGGTTTTGCCCTTGTTTTTAAACCTTAAATCTCTGTTTGAGCAGCAGTCTTCCTCTGGATGTTTTCTGTAACATAACAGTAAAGCCATCAGGACTAGTTGAGTCCTTCCTTAGCCTTTTGTAGTTTTCAGATTTTCCTAGAACTTTCCTGTAACTGACATTCCCACCTGTGAAAGCTTTAGGTCTGGAAGAAAACGGCACATTTGGGTCCCTTTTCATAGGGCGACTGGGGCATAGTTACTAGTGACTCTTGGTGTTTCTTCTGTCAGCACAAAGAAACCACACTGAGCTGGGCGAAGCCCTGGCCTGACATGTGTGAGCCGCAGGCCCCATCCGGGTCCAGTCCACAGCGCCACAAAAACAGAAATCCAAGCTCTTCAGAACTTCACTGGAGATCTAGGTTTAACACAAACATTGATTGAGTCCATCCCTTAGCAAGGTTCTTGAAAACAGAAGCCCGCAGATCACGGATTAAAGACAGAGATAGCAAATGGTTTTATGAAAAGACTAAACATGTATGCCGAGCTCTGTTGTGTGGCCTCAGCCCACGGCTGCCTGGCTGGCTTCCCTGGCCGTTTCAGGGAAGGAAGATGGGGCTCTTTGTGGAATGGGTCCTGGTGAGAATGTGCTGCCTTGAATAACAACTCAGCAGAGATGTTTTCCTCCACAGCTCGGTAGCATGACACTGCCATTAGTACCCTTCCCTTGCCACTAAAGTGAAGCTGCTCATTTCCCACCGGGCACGAAATACATGACCTAGTTTAAGAACAGTGCAAAGCATAATTTAAGTGGCAGAATGAAGTTGGGGTGAACCAGTTGAGTCCTGAGGTGGCAGCCGCAGATGTGGATCTGGAGTTTGGAGGATCTGAACAGCTGGCTGATGCTGGGAACAGCAGTGAGGGCTGGGAAATAGATGCCCTGTGATGTAGTCCTGGAGCATGAGGTGGTGGGGTGGGCGGATCTGAGCAACTCTGTAAGGAAAGCACTACTGGGAGTGTTGATTGACTAAGTGTTGAGTCAGAGATGATCCTAAAGTTTCTACCTCGGGTACAGGGGTGACAAAGATGGTACAGAACAGGGCATGTCAGGCAGGGGCTCCATGGTTGTGCTTCTAATGCTGTGCTGCAGGAGTGGCAGTACTGAGGGGTGTGACTGTGACGTGGGGTGCCATTATAGTTACTTCATTAGTTCTTGTTTGCCTTGATTTTTGTGACTCATCCTTCTGCCTGAAGGGTATGTCTGATGCAGGGAAAAGCAAGGGTGCAAGATCAACTTAAGTGATTCTGCTTTGGAGTAAAAGTTAAACTTTAGCTTGAAAGATACTTTTTATTCGTGGAGTCCCAGAAATGCTTCCAACCATGGCAGGATTGCTGAAGTAAGTCTTTTGCCTCCCAGAATTACTCAAATGAAGGGATAATCATTTTGATCACTGGTTCTTGACTTGTGTGGGATCGCAGACTCACCTAAGAACTTGATGGAAAGTGTAGTCTGGCCCAGAAAAATTACATCCTCATCACACAAAACACTGGATTATAGTTTTAGGAGATTCTCGGATCCTTTCTGTAAAGCTAATCCTTGAGTCCCTATTAAGACTCCTGACTTCTGTCTGTGAATTCTATTTTAAAAAGACAGTGTCGCAGTGCTGTTTTATACAGATATAGATGAAGCCCCAGACTTATCTGGAATGGGGACTTTGGAGCATGTATTCTCATGACAGCTGTGACAGGCAGGGTGGGAAGATAGAATGGTGGAATAACCGGGAGAGGCTGTCCAGGGGGAAGAGAACCAGGAGGGAGATGAGAGAGCAGTGCAGTCTGCATACAGAGATCGCAGGCCTGAGAGAGCAGAAGCTAACAGTGAAAGAAAGCACAGGAGATGGGAACAGCTGAGGGCTCCGCCCCCGAGAAGAGGTACAAGAGCTCAACATTGAGCTGGAAGAGGAGAGGAAGAGATGATTCAGGTGAGGATGCAGCGCTGGTCCATAGGAAGCATTTCTGGAGACACAGGTTAGGAAGCGTGGGAGGGTTGACAGTAAGCCTCCAAGAAAGTGAATGTGTAAAAAAAACAGTGCTGTAGAGAGATTAAAGAAGCAGGCTCGGGCAGATTTCTGAGCTGCAGGGAGGGCTCACCGAATGGTAAAGCTTAATTCATAAGGAATAGGCACATACTTCTGTATCTCCTTAGATTTTATGGTTTTGGAAGAACGGAAAAAGGGATGTGGGTCTGATTGCAGGGAGGGAGTTGGCATCCTAAGAAAAGGGCGTAAGGACAGGAGGGAGTGAGCGAGCTGGTGAATAGCAGGCCCCGGAATCATCATCCCTAACTTGGAAGGCTCTGCCCTCTGGTCCAAGATGAGTGGACGTGAAGCCTCAAGAATAGTGCGGAACAGACTTGTGAGTGGCACAGAGTAGCTGAATGTGGGTTTGGGAGAACAGCAAGCAAGGAAGTGGATGTTTTATGGGGGGCTAGTGCGTTTCAGATCAGAGGAAAGGCAGTGTCGTGCAGAGAGAAGGTCGGATTCTTTCTGGACCGTTCATGAGTTGGTGTTACAGAAGGCAGGGTGGTAAGAGATGGCACTGTCGGGAGGGAGGGCAGAGTGCAGGGAATAGGAGCCTGCATTTGGTGCTGAGGCTGCTTAGTGCATGTGGGGTTCTTCGCAGTATCAGGAAAAAAAGGATGTTGGCATAAAGCTACTTAATAGCCAGTTGTGGTGGCACACACCTGTAACCCTAGCACTAGGGAGGCTGAGGCAGGAGGACCACTGCAAGCTCCAGGCCAGCCTCAGCTACACAGTGAGTTCAAGGCCAGCCTACACTGCGTAGCGAGACCCTGTCTCAAAAAAGCTAAATAAATAAATTTTTTTTAAAAAAAAAAACTATTTAGTGTTTGGGTTTTACTCTTGCTTCTAAATTCCAGTGTTTAAAAAACTCATCCTTCTAAATTCCAGTGTTTAAAAATAGCCAAAGTGATGATTCCTGAGGTTTTATACTAGGATTGATTCAGATGGTAGTAGGATTAAAATTTCATGATTAATTTTTCTTTTTTAATGAACTTGCTACAGGAATTCGTCATCCAAGAGGCTTTAGAAGAACACGACAAAGATGGTGATGGATTTGTTAGTTTAGAAGAATTTCTGGGCGATTACAGGCGGGATCCAAGTAAGTCACCAGGGGCAATGTGGAAGGAGAGGAGAAAGTGGAATTAAAGAAGAAATTGGAAAACAGCCTTGCTCATTGAAAGCTGTCCTTGACAGAGAAAATGGAACAAGAGGAGCTATGCCTGGTTTCTCTGTGTTCTGCTGTTAACTGGGATAACAAGTTCAACAGGGATTTATAGTTTCTCAGGGACACCATCTTGCCTATTCTTATTCCCATTTCTAGATGCAGATATTTTCCTTTTCCAACAAATGTAGTGCCATTTTTCAGCACAAAACAGGAAGTAAAGGTTTTGTGCTTTTTTTTAACAAAATCCTGCACCATTACATGAAGATCTTAAAAGAGAAATAAAAATTCCATGAGTACTATAGACCAGTGACAGTCTTTCAGTGATACAAACAGCTTGCTGCGGCATGCATGCCACAGGTTCACCACCACTGCCGTAGGTAGACTGCAGAAGGTGCCTTTTCTTCCTTTAAGTTGCTGTCTTGTTTCACAGTTGTTCCTTTCAAGTATCAGACAATACAGTTTTTAAAGTCAGTCACCACATTTGCTTATTGTGACTGTAACTTTAATATTACACATGGGAGTAGTTTGTAAGAGCATGTATGAAACTACATAGTCACATAACATAAGTAAAAACATTATCCAACTCAAGTTTGGGAAAGCTAGATATCAGAACAAATAGCAACAGTTAGCAAAAGCACTAGCTTGTAACAATATGCAACAATTTTAAAACCACGAGTTGTTTAGATTTACTGTCATTTTTGAAAATTACCATATATTCATACTTAGTATTTCAGGACCTTTCAGTTAAGAATTTCTGTTTCATTGGGTTTCCTTTAGTAAACTTTAAGTTCACATTCTTTATTCTAAAAATATACCAAATTTGTTGATAGATACATGTGATATTCTTATGTATGTATATTTTGGGGTTTTTTTTTTTTTGTTTCTATATTAAGCTGCAAGTGAAGATCCTGAGTGGATACTTGTTGAGAAAGACAGATTTGTGAATGATTATGACAAAGATAACGACGGCAGGCTTGACCCACAAGAGCTGTTGTCCTGGGTGGTACCCAATAACCAGGGCATTGCGCAAGAGGAGGTAAGTGTTACAGAATGCCTGTCTCTTTTCTCCTCCCAAAATAGGTGCTGTCAATAAGAAATGAAGTTGAAAATCTTAAGCTGGTGGAAGAAGTAATGATGGAAAAATTTAGAACTGATGCATTGCTCTGTTTTTGTTGTTAATTTTGGTTTTTTTGTTTGTTTGTTTGTTTGTTTTTGTTTTTTTCCGGTACCAGGAATCAAACTCACGACCTTGTGCTTGCCAAGCAAGCGCTGTGCCGCTGAGCTAAATTCCCAGCCCCTTGTTATTTTAATATGATGTCTTACTCAATTGCCCAGGCTAACCTTACCTTGAATTCCTCTTGCCTCAGCCTCTTGAGTAGCTGAGATTACAGATACATTGCCCAATTCATTCTTGTGTTTTGAATTAACTCATCTAACTGTTAAATCACTGAAAGAGACAAGAAGATTATGTAATGTATTAATCTGAGAATACAGGGAATAGAATAATAGTTTGTATTACCCAAAGGGGCTTAATCTTAACATAATTTTGCTTACCTTTGAAATATATGGGACTGGGTTTGAGTGGACGATATGCAGAGCTAGCACAAGTTAAGAAAAGAGATGAGAGAAGGAGTGGACAGAAGCATTGCAGCGTGTAGTATTTGTAGATACTCAGATGTCAATGAGTATTCTGCACACCTAAGAATCTTGGCAAATCAGTCACTCAAACCTGAACATCTTGCCGAAAATACTGCAATTCATGCCTCTTTGCTTTGATTTTAAGGCTCTTCATCTCATTGATGAAATGGATTTAAACGGTGACAAAAAGCTGTCTGAAGAAGAGATTCTAGAAAACCAGGACTTGTTTCTCACCAGCGAAGCCACGGATTATGGCAGACAGCTGCACGACGACTATTTCTATCATGATGAGCTCTGATCTCAGCATGTCTGAGTGGAGGCTGGGATCCTTTTATAATCTGTTGTCCACTTTACTTTTGTGATAAAATATCGATGTTGTGTTTTACACTCCTAAGTCTTACCACAGTTAAAAGTGATCTTTATGTGGGTTATCATTTTGGCCTTTTAGAAGAAAAACAAAACCAAAACCTGGTATTTATTTCAAAACATAATGAAGAAATAAAAACGTTGCTGTTGTGCCGTAGGACCACGAGTCTTTCCTCAATACTCCATCTGTTTAGTACAATATTGTGGAATATTCGAGTTCCATTTCCATACTTGAAAACATGGAGGATTTTAGACATGCCTGAACAATACTATTATTTAAGTAGTGTGTGACTAAGCTATCAATTCTTGTTTTGTTCTAAGTAGATTTAATTTTGGGAAATGACAAGAAAGGACAATGTTTTTAGGTATAGAATTTTGTTTTCAGACCTTTAAAGGAACCTTTAGAAGGACTTACACCTCACATAGTAATGATGAGAAGTTCTAGTTAATTTTAAAATGGTTTCATAAAGGGTTTTGTTGTATGAAATAGAACTTTATATTTTTGCATATGTATAGATAGTAATTATATTTAATGTATAACTATAGCTTTCCAGTGAGTGGAATTCAACATTGTCCAGAACTCTTTTCATTTTTGACTGATTAAAAAATGAACTGTCCTATCTTCTATACGTTTGCTTTCTTTTTTGCGAGATAAACCTTCAGCACAGCTTTCATTGTATTATGCATTATCTTGCCTCATCTGTTTGGATAGTGAAGGTTCTTAAAACTGTTAAGTTATTCTTGCTGCATATTCTTATATTACTGTTTTTAAAATAAAGAATCATGTTATAGCTGATTGTATACCCAACACATTTCATTTGCTCTTGTAGCATATTTGGTTTTGCTCTTCAGGGCTAGAAATAATTTTTTTCCTTTTTTTTCTTTTTGGTGAGACTAGTACTGAATCCAGGGCCTTGTGGATGCTAGGCATGTGTTCTAGCAATGAAGTACACCTCTAGCTCTAGAGATAATCTTAAAAAATATGCAGCAAGCTGAGGGGTGTAATGCATGCCTGTGATCCCAGCTACTTGGGAGGCTGAGGCAGGAGGATTCCTTGAGTCCAGGAATTCAAGACTACTCTAGGCAACATAGTGAGATCCTATCTCAAAAAAAAAGTATGTAGGTTGGAATCACCAGTAGAACTGGTTAGTTATTACATTTGAACTCAATTTCAGTTATGCTGAAATTAAAATCATAACTGCTTAGCATTTGTATTCAGCTAAATAGTCACCTCCTTTTTAACCTCCTTCAGATCATTTTATTCACCTTTGATGGGAAAGGGGTAGGGAAAAGTGAAAAGATAAATTTTTGCAGTTTGATAGGATAGTTTTTCCACAAGTATGTTTTTTTCCTTTTTTTTTTTGAGATAGGGTCTTGCTATGTACTTCAGGCTGGCCTTGAATTTACTATATACCCCAGGCTGGTGTCAAATTCACAGCAATCCTCCTGCCTGCCACAGCCTCCCGAGTGCTGGGATTTCAAGTGTGCATCGCCACACCTGTCTGATTTTTTCCTTTTAATACCGTTTTTCCAGAGCAGTTTTTCATTCACAGCAAAACTGAGCAGCAAGTAGAGTTCCCATATACCTTCCCCTCTCCCTGATCTCTCTCAGACTGCACGCCCTCCCCCACTGTCCACACCCCGCACTGGTACGATATGCTTGTGACCATCAGCAAACTTGTATTAACATCATAACCTCCAGGGACTGGGGATTTAGCTCAGCGGCAAAAGCGCCTGCCTGGCAAGTGCAAGGTCGTGAGTTCGGTTCCCGGTACCAGAGAAAAACCAAAAAAAAAAAAAAATCATAGCCTCCAGGGGCTGGGGATTTAGCTCAGCGGCAAAGCGCCTGCCTGGCAAGTGCAAGGTCGTGAGTTCGGTTCCTGGTACCGGAGAAAAACCAAAAAAAAAAAAAAGAAACACACAATATCATAGCCTCCAGTGCCCATAGGCTTCACTGGGCCCTGGGTTTCAATGGTGTGCATTCTATGGGTTTGGGTAAGTACAGGGCAGTGTGTACACTGTACAGTATCATCCACAGTTGTTTCGCTGCCCTAGACATCTTGTGCCCTGCCAACTTACCCTTTTATTCCCTTAACTCCTGGCACCCCTTGAAATTTCTATAATTTTTCCCCACATTGTTTTTATGGCATATTGGCTATACAGATCAATGAGCTTCATTTTGGCAGGCTTGGACATGCACATAACATACTTTGAATCATTTACCCCACCATCTCCCTTGCCCCATGTAGTTTTTTTATTTAAAAATTTCTATTGTGAAAAAGTACACAAGATTTCCAATCAATCTTAGTCATTTTTAAGTGTGGAATTCAGTGGTGTTGAATGCATTCCTAATACTGTGGCTGCATTGCCAGCCATGTCCATAGCTCTTTATTTTGCAAAACTATCCAGGAAGCAGTATTTTTCCATTCCCTCTCCCTGTGTCATCTGACACCACTCTTCTGCTTTTTGTCTGTAATTGGATTCCTCTTCATACCTTACAAATACTGTAATATACCTAGAGTTCAGAAGTTTTGCATGTAGTGTCTATATGCGATCATTTGTGATTGGCTTACTGTATTGAGCATAATGTCCTCAAGTCACCCACATTGTTGCACACTGCAAATTTCCTTTTTAAGGCTATGTAATATTCCATTGTGTGTATATCCACATTCTTCTCACTTGATCCATTCTTCCGTTGATGTACTTGGGTTGCTTCTACTTTCTATCATGAATAATGCTTTTATGAACATGGATGTACAAATATCTTTACAGTGCCTGCTTTTGGTTCTTATGACTACATACCTAGAAGTGGAATGGCTGCACCTAGTTTTAATTGTTTGAGGAACCACCATAGTGTTCCCATACCTGTCGGTAGTGCCCATGAGACCCAGCTTCTCCACATCAGAACCCTTGGTGTTTTCTGGTTGTTTGAGAGTAGCCATCCTAAGGGATCACGCTATAGGTCGATTCACATTTCCCTAACCATTCTATTTCAGGTTCTGCCTTTTCCAAAATACCATTCCTTTGTAATTCTAAATGTGTTGATAAATTTATGCTATTATTTCTTTAAGGTTTTTGTGTTATCTCCTTGAAAGTGACAAATTTCTCCTTCAGCTTGTACAATGTTTTCTACCATGGCAAATGATTTAGGAGAGGCAGGTAGAGTCAAGGTTTTTATACAAATGGAACAACTAACTTGCTTCATTTCAACATTAGAGCTTTTGTTGAATAAATATTTAGCTGTATTTCCTGGCTAGTATAATTTTTAAATAAACTGATATCAGCCTTGCTGAAGCAAGGCCCTCCAGAGCAGCTACCAAACCATCACTATTTTATTTGGAAAAAAGGACTCTATCCAAATGCAAAGAAAAATAAGTACTGGAAAATACCTAGAGTTTGCTGTATCTTTATTTCACATTTTAACCAGATAGTTCATGAGCTGTAGAAAGAAAACCATTTGTATTTATAAAACTATGTTAAAGTGGCTAAAGCCATTTTTTAAAAACCCTATAGCTTTTAATATTGGTTTTTTCTTGCCTTTAAAAAAAAACCCTGCTTTTGTTCTGTGTTCTACAGAGTTATTTTTCTTCTCTTCTAAGACCAGGTTTCAATTACTATTTTGCTCCATTATTGAACTATTAGCAGTAGCTGATAAAAAACGTAGAGAGATTGTCCCATTACAATGATACATGAAAAATATTAACTAAGGTCTTTCTTGTGCCAACTGCTGGCCTATCTGAATTAATGCTTTGTTGTTTCATCTACAGCAAACAATGTCAGCCAAGTGATCTATTTTGTAAGAGTTCCTTGTAATGAAAAACTTGATTAAACTTAATTATGGACTCACTGCCTTCCTGGTGGTAAGAAAGGGAAGCTGGCTAAGCCATTAACAGTCACTTTACCTTGTTGCCACATAGCAATTAGTCTTCAGTCTCTGCTCTCCTTCCGCTGTATAATCCTAAACAGCCAGGCAAAGTAACAAAGAGGGGAAAATGATTTGTATTAATACCCCTCTTCCTTCCGCTACACTTAAGAACAGAACATGTCATTTATGAAATGTCATGGTAAAAAGAAAAAGTATACAGGCTTAGGTGGGAGTCAGTGTGTTATCTTATGTTAGAGAAAAACTGGCAGGTAGGCTCTAGATAGTTACTAAGTGAACTTAGGGAAATGTTAGACTATTCTGAGTGTCAGTTGATTTCATTGACTGATTTTTGCACATCTTGTCTGCTCTTGCCTTGTGTCTCTTCAATGTGCTGTCACCAAACACCACAGTGCGTAAGTCCATTTATGTGAACCGTAGAGGCAGGAAATAAAAGCAGGAAGTACTGTAGATGGTTGTTCTCAAGGGCTAGCTGATGAGCAGCTTGTTCCTCTTTGGGATGATGAGAATGTTCTAGGTCAGATTATGGTAATATTGCCCAACTCTCCCAATATACTACAAATCACTGAACTTGGAACTTTAAATGGGTAGATTTTATAGCGTGAGAATTATATCAGAATAAACCCATTAAGAAAAAAAAGTAACGAGTTCCTCACCAGAAAGCTGCTCTACACATGGCTTCCCTGGTTGGTCAGTGCCCCGCAGTGCTCCTCAGAGCAACATTAGGACATTTGGGAGCATTGAAATAGCAGTCAGGGGTCCCAAGTCTGCTGTAATCTATGGGCAGGGCCACACAAGCACTGATTGTTCTGTGTCCTCCATGGTGTTAGAAGCCCCAGTGGGTGAGAGATCTGCTTATAAAATCATCTGAGCCTAAAATCAAATTCCATTTTAAGTGAAATCTTTTTTACATAATTTTAATCTGCACTACATTTCAAGAAATACAGCTGCCGTGTAAATCAGAGGGAACTGATGCTTTGTTTTGTTCAGAAATTTTCTGAGTTGTCACCATGCAGAAAACCAGGACCCAAAGGACATCCCCTCCTTCTGCATTTGCACCTGGCCTATTCCCAGGTGATGGTCTGTCTTCTGATATCCTCATGCCTAAGTAATTACACCTTTTAGTGATGTGTCTTTCATTTCTGCATCCTGTTACAGTCACAGTGTCACACTGTGTGTCAGCCAGGGTGCCCAGGTACCAAATGACACACTGTGTTTGGAGGCAGGAATAGGTGCAGAGACCAGCAGGCACTAGTGATTTGTCCTGCAGCAAGGAACAGCAGAGAGGCATTGTGTCCCTGGCCTGAAGGGGTCTAGCCAGGTAGGTTTAGGTGAAGCCCAGCCCCCTCTGCTCACATGGGAGCTGTGACCGCTGCTGTACTGGTGCCGTGGGCATCTCAGGGAGCAGGGAATGAAGATGAGACTTTTCTCTCCTACTGCACATTTCTACCAGGCACTGGCCAGAGGCCATAGAAAGCCTGGTTATGGCACTGGTGGAGGTGAGCCTCTAAGCCCAGCTCAGGAGGATGGGGTCAGATAAAAAACTGCATATGAGCCGGGTATGATGGTGCACGCCTATGATCCCAGCACTCGGGAGGCTGAGACAGGAAGACCCCCAAGAGTTCCAGGCCAGTCTGGGCTACAGAGTGAGTTCAGGGCCAGCCTGCACTGCATAATGAGATCCTGTCTCAAAAACCAATTAATTAATTAAAAACTGCATATGCAATAAGTTATACTACCTGTGAATTTTATTTTATGATAGCAAACCAACGTGATGGTCCTAGAAAGAAAGCAGTGGGGGTCTATGATTGAAAATCACTGCCCAGAAAGGAAAGGAAATAGTTTAAATAAACACTAGTTTAAAAATTAAGAAGACTGACTCATCTGGAGTTCCAAATAAAAGTGAGGACATTATAGGCACATAAAATAACATGGGGTTAAGGAATCTGACCAAGATATGCTCAGGAAGCCCATTTCTTAGTGGGAAAGGCAGGTTTAGCCTATTTGCTGTTGGGGGACAACTATTTCCTAAATATATCAGTTACCCAAAACTTGTATAATGTTTAAAAAAAAACCACAGTAAAATAGTGCCTCTCAACTCAGTGATGTGTGTGCTTTATGTTTTAATACTCAATCACACTGAGTGACAGTTTGGAAGAATGACAGGTCTTCAGAGGCAAATCCAGTTCTAGCAGATTGAAAAAACAAGAAAGTAGAAAATAAACCCGGGTTGTCTTTACCAACAAGACCAGCTTGGTCAGAGTCCTCGGAGGTCCCCTCATTTCTCATCCTTTTCCCATCACCCCTCTCTGCTGACACCCTTGCTCTTTGCCTCTTCCTGGACTTCCCAGCAAGAAATCACAAGGTTTGGGGCCCTGGGCTGACTTCGCATTCCTGTCAGCTTCTCTCACACACATAGCACGACTGCCTATGATTGGCTGTTTGCTTCATTTCCAGTTGATAGGGGTTTAAGCAGCATTTCTCAAACTCGAGCCACACTGAGATCACATCCTGGATGATCCATTAGTCTAAGATGGCCCAGGGGAACCCAGTGAGTAGCTGGTGTGAAAAGCTGGGTCAGATTCAGGGTTTCCCAGCTGTGGCCCTGGTGTCTTTGGGTCTGAATGATTCTTTGTGGGGAGAAGGGAAGGGTGTCTGCACAGCAGGGTGCTCAGCCCTGTCCCTGGCCTAGCCTCAGTCTCTCCTCTCCTTTGTGACAGAGTAATGTCATCATGCCTACATGTCTCCTGCAGGACAAAATCACAGCCTATTTATTTTTTGGTACTGGAGTTTGAACCCAGGCCCTCACCCATGCTAATCCTGTGTTCACCGCTGAGCTAGAAGGGGCCTTGTGTCTCTGGGATGCTTCAGGTGGCTCAAAGCTCCCTGTCTTGGAAATCAGGAATCTGCTTTCCATGTGGCTCCCATATGCAGCTGCAGAATCCAGTCTGGGAAAGGTGCAGGCCGGTACCAGATGCCCTTCCTCGGTGTCTCAGGTCTGTATCCTCAGAAGAGGGACAAGGAAGGAATCAGATGAGTGGATCTTTACATTTCTTTCCAGGTCTGAGATGTCTTTCCCTGCTGTCCCTAGCAACTGGCTAGAACTGGAGTGGGCTTTATACTTGATGCACTGATTGAGGAGAACTTTATATTTCCCAGTTAATTAAGAAAAAATTAATTAGATCGCTTTATGGTAGTGATTTTATTGATTCTGTACCTCCTCTTCAATGAGCCTCCTGTGCATGCTCCCCACACCCCACCTCCCTGGGGACAAATGGAAAGCAAGGCATGATAGTGTTTTCATTCCTGAGTTACATAACTAGCTCAGTGTGGACTATGATTTAAACAGACAGGAAGAAACTCTGCCTTTTTACAAGAGCAACTCAGAAGTGGGGATGATGGATTTAACAACTTCACTTTGAAAGAAAAAAAAAACAGTCTGTAGGAATTTCACAAAGTGGATATTTTTACAGAATGCAATGCTAGTTTGAAATGAACTCAAATGAACCTTTGCGTTTTCCAATGCGACTTCCAATGAATCTGTGATCATCCAAAAAATATTCTCCCCGTCCCTCCATCCCTTCCTTCTTTTTCCCTTGTTTATTGAGCTCTTCTGGGTGAAGCATTATGACTGGGCAGTCACATCACCCGTCTTTGTGCACACAGAGACCTGGGATTTGGGAATGGCCATGGGTCTGGCCCTGGAATAGCCATCAGGCTAGTTAGGAACTGATCTGCTGGGACTCCTGTAACGCATCCCAACCTTCCTGCTGTGAAGCCCTCCTTACTCTTCCAACCCCAAGCACCACAGTCCTTGTGTTGTGGGATTGGATAAGCATCCCCCGACCATGTATGAGGCGTGGTCCCCAGCCCTGGAGTGACTGGGACTGGGAGGAGATGGGCCCTTTACAAGGTGGGGGTCTTCCCTAACCCTCCTAGAATGTAAAGAACCCAGGAAGCCAACGCTTTTGGATTTCTTCTTTTATGTTTTTCATACACCTAGAACAGTGCCTGGAACATAACAGGTGCCCCCATAGCACTTGTTGAATGAGGGAATGAACGAACGGGTGGCTGAAGCCTCCTGCGGGGCACCTCTACCAAAGCACATCCTCCCTTCATCTTCGTGTCTCCCATAATTCTGGGCAGCGGCTCAGCTTCTCAGAGGGCAGCGGGAACATAGAGGAACAGCACGTCAGACACTGAATGTCAGACTGGGCCCACTGAAATTAGACAGGGGGCCAGGCGGGATGGGGTGTCCGAGACATCCCAGGAGGAGTGTGGAGTTGATCCTGTGGCCCTGGGAAGTGTGTGGAGAATGGATCATTAGCAGAATCAGAAGAGAAAGAGGAGTCAGGCTATCAGCTAGGATGTGGATTCATCTGGGAAGAGTAAGGAGCCCTGGGTAGGTCAGCAGCAGCAGGGACAGATGGCGGGGACATTTTGGTGGCAGAATCAACAGGACCGATCTGACACAGCAGTAAAAAGCAAGCCCTGCATCAAGCTCAGGAAGGTAATCTACCTTTTATGCCCTATCAGGTAGCAAAAATATGATGCATATGAATTATATTGATTCTTACCATTAATTTCTAAATGGACTTTAATTTTTATTAACAGGATTTGGGGGCTTATAATTCAATAAAGAAGCAGACTTTTTTCTCCTGGGAGAGCGTTTAGACTAGAAAAACACTAAAAGGAAATTCTTTCCTTGCTGGGTAATAAAGAGAGACAAAGCAAGCAGGGCCTATGTAGAGCCCTGGAACTCGCTGTCACCGCTGTCACCCAAGGTCCCCGTCAAACCTCGGTGGGCATTATGGCAGCTTCTCTTAAAGGTTACAACAGGAACTCCACACATTCTCATTAAAGCCCATCCAGGTTCTGATAGGAGCTGATGATGGCTTGAAAACTTTGGCATTTCCAGGTGGCAATAAAGCAACTTTCTAAGCAACAAAAGGGCAAGCCTTTGAGCACGCTGCAGGTGAGATGAATTCCACAGCGGGAGCTAAAAAGCCAGAGATGAAGGCTCCTTTCCTACAGCTATTGGCCACCAATTGACAGCTCCCACCCCAAAACTAAATTGCCTTCTCTCTTGGTCCAAGAAATTTCACAGTTGGCTGTCAGTCTTTGATGCTCAGGTGGTGCCAAACATTTTAAAAGCAACAAAACCCCCCAAACCCTAACACCTCTTGTCCTGATGACATCCAGCTCCCTCCCTGCTTCCCACTGACTGCTCCAGGGCTGTAGATCGGGTGTCTGGAGGTTGTTATATGAGAGGACCTCTCTTCCCTTAGGAGCGCTATCTCTGGGACTGGCAGTTCTTACAATTCCCAGGTTGGGATGTAGCTCAGTAGTAGAGTGCGCGCGCGCACCCAGCCACCCACCCACACACACACACACACTCTACAGTGTCCCTTTTTAGGGTCCCTAGGCCAGATCTTCAGGACCCTGGAGCACATCCAGGTGTTCCAACTGCACCAAGGTGCTCTGTTCTCTGACCTTTGCCACCTCTGGGAGGAAATGGCTGTCTTCCTATCAATTCTTTCTTAGAGGTCAAAATCAGGCCCAGAGAAGAGGTTTCCTTTCCCCTCCCCAAAATGAAATGCTCAGCAGAGCTGGGCTAGAGGTGTTCCACTCCACCTCCATCCAGGGACTCCATGGGGGAGAGACTGGCACAGGGGAGAAAGTGCCTGGAAGTGCAGGTGGCCCAGCTGGGGTTAGGATTGGGTTGCATCTTGCTGGGCCCTTGCAAACACCTGTGTTCTTCCACACCTCACTTTCTTGGGTGTCCCCGTGGTCCCTTCATCCAGTGGTTCTCAAAGAGTAGTCCTGAAATGGGGAGTCACTGGCAGTTTGGTTCCACCCTAGACATTCTGAATCAGAACTCTAGGGGGAGCCCCGCTCCAGCTAGCACCCAGGTGATTTCCAAGCACAGTCAGAACCATGGGTTCCAGTATCCCTTTGATCGGTGTGTGCCTCAAACTGCTTCCCCTGGAGTTCAGTCTGTCTCTCTGCTCTCCAGTTCTGCACCTGTGAAGTCGCCTCACCGTGTAAGGCTGCCGAGATCCGCGACAGTTCTGTGACAGGCAGGAAGGACAGAGGAGAGCTTTTGGAGCCTGGGGAGGAAATCGGAAACCTGCTGGGGCCTGCTTGAATCTTCACACCTTTACAAAGGGTGAGAACTCACACCTGCAAAAAAGCAAACAACCAACCCAACACCGTTTAAAGAGAAAAAACAAGTGCCATTTGAAGGAGCAGCACAGCAAATTGAGGTGATGGCCATAAAACATTTTCACTTCTGACCAAGAATTGCTTAGGGCAGGTAATGGTGTGTTAAATATCAAAGGGGAGACAGCGGCCCTTGGACATTCAACATGGAGCCAAGAGGAATGGGGAGAGGAGAGGGTGTGGGCAGAGGAGAGGACCAGGAGGAGGCATCTTGATCCCCAGCCCTGCCTGGTGATGGGGACATGGGAAAGGCAGGAAGATCCCCCTGGCGCTGAGGGTCTGTGAGTCTGGGTGGCCATGCAGCAGCGGCCATCGTGAAGGTGATTCTCATATGAGCCATGAAACTACACTAGGGTCAATATTTTGCACATCTTAAAACTTTTAACGCAGATAATACACTATGTTGGCTCGATTCGCAAACCTGATGGAGGAGGAGCCTTTCAGGTGATCGCTGGGTTAGGGTCCCGGAGCCACCCCTGGCCTCGCCCTATTCCTCAGTCTCCCCTCAGGGTCTCCGAGGAATGCATGCTCATTCCCAACGCAAGCTTCTCCTGTTGTTTCCTGCTTCTTCTTGATGACTCTGCCAGCCTCTGCTCTTATGCTCCCCAGCTCTTCCTCAATGTGGCCTCCCCAGGAAGGGGAGTGGGGAACCTCCCTGGGATGGTGCAGGGAAGGTTTTTCATGCTGAGGGCAAGCGTAACTAGGCAGCAGAGGACAGAGACTGAGATCCAGGTTGACAAGCAGGATGTGCCAGGCACTAGCCAGTATCGGTGCAGACAGGACAGAAAGGCAGGCAGAGGCCAGTGCCAATAGGCAGGGCCTGGGTAGAGCTGGTGTGGTCATGCCATGCAACACTCATCTTGTCTGTTTGTGTTAGTCTAGATATGTACTTCAGGCTGGCCTTAGACTTGCAGTGATCCCTCTGCCTCAGCCTCCTTTTTTTTTTTTTTTTTTTTTTGGTACGGGGAATTGAACTCGGGACCTTGCACTTGCCAGGCAGGTGCTTGTGCTGCTGAGCTATATCCCCAGCCCTGCCTCAGCCTCCTAAGTGCTGGGATCACAGGCATGTTCCACCCTGAAGGCAGCCCAGGTGAGGTCTCAGAAGTGAACACAGGGACTGTCCCAGTGCCGAAGGGGCTAAGTATGAGAGGGTCATGGCCCTGCCATGGAAGCATCCAGCCAGAACCCTCTCTTCTCTGCCCAACACTTGCTGGCTCTGACAGTTGTTTTTTTTTTTCCCCAACAGAACCAGTTTTTGTCATAAAATTCTTGGACTACTTTAGCTTCTGGATTATAAAGTCTTTTTTTTTTCCATAGTGATGATAGCTCTAAACATCTAACAGGCAGAAAATGCTTTCCCTTCAGAAGGGAAACAAAAAGAAAAACACTAAGGAGATTTCATTACAGTGCAGCCAGTTCCTCTTTGGCAAGAGGCACAGCTGACCTGGAGCTGTTTTTATTTACTGAAAAGGAAAGAAAACTATTCACTCATTCAACAAAATCTACTGAGCACACACACCAGGGAAGGTATTCAGTTGGCCCCAGCCTGAGGCACCATCAATAGATGGGGCGATGGGCACAGGAGGGTCACAGTCCAGGCTGTCCCTGCATCAGTGACTGGTTTACCCAGGCTGCTGCCTAGTTTTCCTGGAGAGGAAGAAAGTATGACATCTACAAGATCAGAGCCTGTGAGGGCCACAGAGTCAGGGAAGGTGGTGCTGGCCTCCTGGGAGGAGAGGATGTGGGAAGTGCTGGGGACAGTGGTGCAGAGCTGGGGTGATGGCTGGGCTGGACAGGCCCTTGGGGGCCTCAGAGCTAAGGATTTGGGTGTCACCCACCAGGAACAGGGTCACTGGTGGGTTTTAAGCAGGGGAGAGTGGTGACCACGTTGCACTTAGAAAGACTCCTCTGAAATGACACAATATCTAGGATTTGTATGCAACAACTCAGACCAAAACCCAAAAGGCAATAATTCTGGGATGATTTATAAATGGGAAAGAGTCCAACTCTGTATCAATGGACTTGTCAGATAAACTATGACCTGTCCATGCAGAAAAGTACGAAATAGCACTAAAAAAGAATGAGGACTTATCTCCATATATGATGTACTATTAGTGCCTCACTTTTCTCATTGCTGGGACAATTAAAAGGAGGAGATGTTTCTTTTGGCTCATGTTTTAGGTTGTGGTTGGCTGGCTCCAAGGCAGGTGGCATGGCAGAGGGTATGGTGGAAGAAAGCTGCTTACAGCATGGTGTACAGGAAGTAGAGTGAGAAGGGAGGAACCACGGAGGGAGATGAACTAGGCCACACCCCCTCCAGGCCACACCTCCAATGACTGACTTCTGACCAGGCTCCACCTCCTGACAGTGGGTCAGCTATCAGTCCCATGAGCCAATCACCTCCCCAAAGCCCTACCCTGAGTACAGCAGGCTCTTGGGGGACATTTAGATCTAAACCATGAAAATTAGGTTATAAAAAGGAACACGTATACAAGATTTACCTAAGGAAGGCAAGGCTGCTGGTACATAACGGTACAGAGGCTGTGTTAATATTGGAAACAGACAAGTAATGGAAAGAAACCAGGGAGAATGGGCTATGGTGGGAGAGGGGAAGGACTAAAGTGGAAGAGAGAAGCAGAAGCTGGACTTTTCTGAGTATATCTTCTTTGTTTATTTGACTTTGGAGCCACAGAAATATTTCATGTAAGTAAAAAACAAAATTAAATCAAAAAGGAATCCCTAAAAAGAAACAAATGAACATGGATGTGCATCTGTTGGTGGCGGGAACACGCAGAGGAACTGTTCCAAATACAGTAATTGGTCTGCTTAGCCCTGAGGGGGGAAATAACCACAGACAAAAAGAGCTGCAGATACACAAACAAAACATCCTGAACCGCTTCCAACAGGCAATTGGCTGGCTGGAGGATTGGTATTGGTGCTGTAATACTGTCTGTTTACATTGTGGGATAAAGTCAATGTGAAATTCCGATGCTAGGATTTCTGATGTGGTGAGACCCTGTCTCAAAATTTTAAAAAATTTAAAAAATAAGAACTGGGGATGTAGCTCAGTATGAAGGCCCTGGGTTCCATCCCTAATACCACAAAAATAAATAAATAAATTGCAATTTTTAAAAAAGAGATGTGGTAAAGGGAAGGGGTGAAAAGGGATCTGAGGGGAAAAAAAGAGATGTAAAGGGAACTGATAGTTAAAACATTAAGAGAAATATCACCCATCACAATGTGTGGGGCTTGTTCAGATTATAACAATTTTAAAATGTAAATAAAATTTTGTGACATTTGAAAGACAGCTGGAAATTTGAACATGGCTGGGCTTTAATGATGTTAAAGTTTAATTGTTTTCAGGTGTGATTTTTTTTTTTTTTTTTGCAGGAGTTTGGAGAGGAGAAGAAGCATCAGCTATTCTCAGAAATTTCTTCAAAATCATCCTCCTTCGCCAGCCTCTTCCCTCCTTAGAATGCACATATTATCTCAACCTAGGGCCAAGGCAATGTGAAGATGAAAAATAATTTGAGGGATAAAACGTATTACGAATGGTACATTCTATTCCCACTGAGGTTTACCATTATTTAATCAATTTCTAGAGTTTTCAAGTACATTTCAAAGCCCTGAATTGTTGGAAATACTCCTGAAAAAGTTGCACATGGAGAAGTACTTATTATAGGTGAGGTGTTGTACAATCCTGTTGGATTATGATGCTGGTGTCCTGATTTTAGATAAAAACATGTTCCCCTGGGAATCAGGGCTGGTGCCACAAACCTGTAATCTTAGCTGTTCAGGCAGGAGGATCACAAAGTCAAGGCCAGCTCGGGCAACATAGCAAGACATTGTCTCAAAATTAAATTTAAAATGGGGTGGGAATGTAGGTCCATGGTAGAGCACTTCCCTAGCACGAATGAGCCCTGGATTCAATCCTCAGTATGGGGACAGGGTGGGGTTGGGGGGGTGTTCCCTAGTATCTTAAAAATAAACAAAGTATTTTAAAGCTAACACATAGGTGCCAAGGAGTCCCGTGTTGCTATTATTAACTCAAAGCAGTAACAGATTCTGCAAGTGATGAGTGACGAGCGGCTCGAGGCTGACAGAGGGCAGGAGCAGGCACTGGGACTCTGCCAGGTACCTGGTTCTGTACCAGCTCACTGTGTGATTCTGGACAGAACTCACCCTTGCTGGGCACTGGTTTACCATGTGCAGAAGTCATGGGGGTCCTTCCATAGTGGTTGCCATGGAGAATGAACGGCGCCCCCACCCAACCTGGCCATGAGTCAGTTTAATGCCTACCCAGTGGGTTCCCTGCCAGGAGACCAGATCTGCCTGGCTCCCTGGGAACCAAGGGAAGTGTAGGGGCAGGTACCAGGACACATTCTGAGAGAGGGGAGGGGCAACCACAGCGGGGCAGAGGGGAGGGGGATGTGGATCATGCATCTCCATGCCTACCACACAGTGGGCAGAGAAGCCTCTGTTCAACTGTGCATGGCAGCCTGCAGCAGAGAAACTGCAGAGGTGCAAGACTGCATCTCCACAGGCTGTGAAAATGTGGGAAGGCAAAGAAAATCCAACAACAGAGCTGTGCACTTGAACCGAAGAAGTTTCTGACTGTCAGGAGGGTCAGATCCTCTGCGCCTGCTGGTTCCTGATTTTGCGGCTGGAGGTTTTGAAATGTCCTGCTTGTCACAGCTCACCACTTCCGTCCCTCTCCCGTGCTGGCTCTGGGTTGCTAATGTGCTTCCTGGTGGCTTGGAGAGTCAGATTGGTCTTCAGTTCTATTTTGGGCAGAGAATGTCATTTCCCTTCTTTCCCTATTTCTGTGCAATTTGGACCTGAAGCCTTGAGGTTGGGGATGAGATGCAACTCTGAAAAAGAGATGTGACCTGAATCCTCCAAGAAGGCGACACTCTAGTCCCCAGGCCTCCAGGCCTCCAGTGCCCCTAGAGCATGCGTGACCATGGGTGAATGTGGATGCTTATTATTCCTAATAACGCTAGTAGCAGTAAAAGACATACTTCCCTAGGCTCCTGCAAACCATCAAGGCTTACAGGATTCAGTACCAGCAATAACCTAGTTCGTGACTTGCCTGCTCACACAAAAACCTCAATTCTCTCCTTGTCTATTCCACTTTCTGGGAGACAAGAGACAAAGAGCAATGCATAAATCCCAGCATGATGGTGGCACAACTATAATCCCAGCACTCAAGAGGCTGAGGCAGAAGGATAACAAGTTGCAGGTCAGCCTGGGCTCCATAGTAAGTTCAAGGCCAACCTAGACTACATAGTGAGACCCCAAATCAAAACAAAATGAAAAGTAATATGTTAGCTTTAGCCAGTGGTGGTGAACCTATGGCACATGTGTTTTTTCCTTTTAAGACAAAAGATGTTAATGTATGACTTGTTTTTTCTAAACTAAAACCTCAGTATTTGGGTTTAATTGGAGTGTTGGCACTTTGTGATAAATAAGTGAATTTTGAGTTGCAGTTTGGGCACTCGATCTCTAGAAGGTTTGCCATCACTGCAAGACCTACACTAAAAGGAATCCAGGACCCTTGGAGAAAATTTGATTGTAGAGCTGAGAACAGGTACCTTACAAATGAGCCTGAAATATCTTGTGCTAGAGAATAAAAATAACTCAGTAGATAATGGAGCCACATGAGAAGGAAATGGAAGGCACTTGCTATGGTTTACAGCCAGATGTCCCCCCAAGAGCCTGGAAGGTACTATCTCCCTCCCCAGCTCCTCCTGGCTCCCTGCTTCCTGTCTGCCATGTGGTGAGCAGCTCTTCTCCACCAGGTCCCCTTGCTATGCCATTCTGCCATGGAGCCAGCTGACCACGGACTGAAACATGAGCCAGAAGAAACCTCTCCTCCTTTAAATTGTCCCAACAACAAGGGAAGTGACTGAGACACCACCCTAAGGGCTCTCACACCAGCCAAATCTGGGAAAATTTATGCATCATAAAGAACAATAACGGTAATCGATTACAACCCATTGAATGAGCTAGAAATTCCCAAGTCCCACTAATATAAGTAAGTGAGTCGATAAATAGGAAGAGGGGAATCTTCTTGTAAGTGTAGATGAGATGCTGGAGTCAGAAGCACCAGTGTCTGCTAAAACAAGTGGGTGGCATTGTGAAGAGGACCAGGACCTGAATATTTACATAGCCTCACAGGATTTTCCTACAAGAGACTGATTCATCAGAAACTTACGGTGAACACCAGGTGTGGTGGCACACACCTGTAATCCCAGCACTTGGAAGGCTGAGGCAGGAGGATTGTTGCAAGTTTGAGACCAGCCTGGGCTACAAAGTGAGCTCAAGGCCAGCCTGAACTGCATAGTGAGATCCTGTCTCAAAAAAGTCCAAAAAAAAAAGAAACTTACGGTGAAGCACAGCAGGAGACATCACTTTAGCCAAGTGATCAGAGTTAACATCACCTGTAAGAGGACAAACCAACAGCCCAGGCTCCAGAGAGCCAGGTGCTAAGAAGAACCACTCGTGGGTGTCCTGCTCCCACCTACGGCTGTCACCTGAACCTAATCTGAGGAAAGGACCAGACATAAGCTTACACTGAAAGATAACCCACAAAATGACCTGATCGTGACCTTCCTAAGTGTCAAAGTCATGAAGTCAGAGGAACTGGCCAGCTATCGCAGATTGAAATAGATTAGGAGAAAAAAATAGCTTTAAATGACATTATAATTGATGGGAATAAGTTCAAATATTGTGACAATAGCACTGTATTTGTTTTTGTTTTGTTTAGTTTTGTTTTTTTGAGACAGGGTATTGCTATGTAGTTCAGGCTGTCCTTAAACTCACTATGTAGCCCAGGCTGGCCTCAAATTCATGGCAATCCTCCTGTCTCAGCTTCCCGAGTGCTGGGATCATAGGTGTGTGCCACCATGCCCAGCGATAGCACTGTATTGCTGTTACCTCCTGTCTTTCCTTCCGGCCTTCCTTATGGTGCTGGGAACCAAAGCTAGGGTCTCATGCCTGCTGGATAAGCTCTCTACCACTGAGGTATGCACTCAGCCGGCTGTTAAATTTCTTAATTTTGAAAATTGTGGTGTAGCTATGTAAGAGAATGCCTTTATTTTAAGAAGTATACACTTAAATTTAGTAGAAAGTTGCCATGCCTTCAACATACTAAAGTAATATAAAAACCAATATGCATAGTTAAAAATAGAAAAACAATAAATCAAGGAGGTAAAACAATTTAATGGATTTGAGTGGAGGGAGCAGGAATCCCCTGGACTCTTTAAACTTAAAATTCTACCAAAATAGCTGGGCATGGTGGCACACATCTGTGATCCCAACACTCTGGGAGGCTGAACCAAGAGGATCTCAAGTTTGAGCCCAGCCTGGGCAATTTAGAAACTTAGCAAGACCTTGCCTCAAAAAATAAAAAAGGGCTGGGGATGTAGCTCAGTGTAAAGGCCCTGGATCCAATTCCCAGGGCTGAAGAAAATGATACAATAATTAAATTTATGAACTAAAAAAGAGTAGAAGAAGAACATGAAAACATATGCCTCTTACAAGTGACCCGAGGAGGGGCCTGGAAGGCTTGTGTTACTTTTGTCTTGTCAGACAGTGGGGAGGCACACTGTGTACTTCTTACCAAGCGTAGAGTAACACTGTGAGAACCATGGGCTTATTATCCCTGCCTCCCGCTTCCTGTGTGAGGAAACCAACACCTAGCATGGTGAGACTGAAGCTCTCCAGCACTATGTCCAGTACCCACATACCTGAGCCCCAGTTCCTGAATATGGTGGGTGTCTGCCCTGGGCACAAGCTGTTCCTTCGGCGGGCTTGAGCCCCTCCTCTGGCTCTGAACTCTAGGTTCTCAGCGACAGTGAGACACCACCTGGGCTGAAATCGAGCTTGCCTTCTGCTGAACAAGTCATTTTCCTACTAAATTAGAGTCAGCTGACAGGGTAAGGGTGCTAAAAGCAGTTTAAAAGCACTGGAGAGATAGCAGCTGAGGAAACAGGTGAGAAGGGTGGGCATGGAGGGGCCAGCAGAACTCCTGCCATTGCTTTCCCTGTCGGCTAGGTTGCCATTCCGTTCCACGCTGGGCCCCAGTTTCCCTATTTCAGAATCAGGTGGAGCAGAAGTTCTGACTGAAGCTGTGTCTGAAACCTAAAACTATGCAGACGTTCTGGCTCCACCCAGTAGCAGGTCTAGGTTGGGCCTCCTGTACTTTATGTTTTTTTTTTTTTTTTTTCAAAGACCCACAAGAGGTTCACCTCTGCCCTCCGGCACAGAGCGTTCAGGTTTGGGACTCAGAGGTGCCCCCACACCCACACCCTGGGTTCCAAGTGCCCTGCCAGCTGGCACATGGCTACTTTGCCCAACTCTGAGGCTACTCTTGTTTATGTTCCTGACCAGCACCAGCTTCTAAAGCCTCACAGTGCTTGGAAACTGAGTCACTCGGGCGCGAATGAGTCAACCCGAAAGCTCTGGCAGCTCCGAAGAGCTGGTGAGCAGAGGAAATCTCATTTCAGTCAGTGCTGTCCTGGAGCAAACTGATAGCCCAAAGCTATAGTACATCTGCACTCTTTGCCCCACGAGAACTCTGGGAAAGGAGGTTTCCTGGTGTCAGAGTAGCAGGCTTCCATCTGAGGGCCTGCCCAGGGCCTACCCTCCCCACTTCCTCTTCTAAGGTTGACTTCCTCTCCTTCCCTCCTTCCTCAGC